GGAAGGAAGGAAGGAAGGAAGGAAGGAAGGAAGGAAGGAAGGAAGGAAGATTATAATGAGAGTGAGGGAGAGTCTGAGGGAAGTCCTGCCCATAGCACTTGGCCACTACAAGTGCCCCCGACATGAGTGACCTTAAGCTGGCCATGCCCACCCTGGACACACCCACCCCAGCCAAGGTTACCCCAGCTCCCCGAGGTCAAACACAACCCTGATGTGGCCCTCAATTAAATCAAGTTTGATACCCCTGTTCTATGTGGACAAAACAATAGACCATTATGGAAACAGGAACTATATGCCTTCTTGATAGGGACAATTTTTTGTACTGCCTTGGAACTAATATTGGCTGTGGGGCTGGGGTGATTGAATAGATATTCATTTACTTATAAAACACAGGGATCCATTGTAAGCCAAAAGAGGTTCTTCAACACAATGTATCTATTCAGTTGAAAAAAAGCCAAATTGAAAAGGAATAAAGTGAGGAAGAAAAACGTTGTACAGAGTTGGTCATTACAACCCTTCATTTAATGAGCATTATGATATCACTGCAAAAATTAATTTACCACCTGTTGCAAGATAATGGTAGCAGAAGGCATAAAATCAGTGCTAAGAATACTGAGGTTAAGGTAGTTTTCCGTTTAGCTCACCGCACTATCAGTTTGGCATTGTGTTTCAGTAATTGAGGAAAGGTTATCCATCTTCTAATAGCATATCTCCAACGCATCCCACCCTTTTCTTTTGTTAGATTTGTTTGTGGGTAACATCAGCTGCTCGTCAGACCCAACAGATCCGAAAAGCCTATTTTAGGAAAATCATGAGGATGGACATAGGCTGGTTTGATTGTACATCAGTGGGGGAACTCAGTACACGGATTTCTGAGTGAGTAACTCGAGATAGCCACTGACGGGAATACATGCCAATAAACAGTCTCTGGAAAGTCAGGGAAGGTTTTAAAAAGTCATTTCTACCAGCTTGATTCTCAGCTGTGCCAACCTATCCACTGGACTGCCACAACGGTTATCCCTAGCAATCCTGCAAATGGCTTTTATAAAATTGATGTTGACAGGGCCAGCCCTGTCATTACCACCTGCTTGAGAGGCCCTGTTTCTTGCCATGTGAGAGCCAATATTTTGCAGGACTCTTGAGATGTCAATATAGTAATAAAACTAGAGACAACCCTAGATCGGGCAGAAAGTGGTCGAATCCCATGGAACTAATCCGAGAAAGATGGCATTTAGATGTTTTTCTAGATGGACAAAAATATTTGAGGAGTGTCCATCTGGCTAGAAGAAATATGATCCTTCCAATCCCCCCCATACACACAAATCCTGTCAGAACTAATCCTTCCATAGCCCCCACCAAGTTGCCAAACCAAGGAAGCTTCTTGGATGAGAACGTCATCTTCCACAAGAAAAACAAAACAATTCAGTTGCCTTTTGAAAAAGCACCTTTGAGACAACTGTGACTTGGAGGACTGAAAATCTCCACAGACCTCTATCTCACCAGCCATTTTTCACAAGCTGCTGGTGCTTCATGAGTATCCGTGCAAATTTTATTTTCCCCACCTTGGCCTTGTTAAGAAGAATCTCTGCAAAGGGTTCGACCAATTGTCAGCTATAAGGGCATGGGATGAGAAATAGAAGCCTCCATTTCATAGCATTTAGAATCCCACTGGGAATATTCCAGCAGGCAAAATACTTGGAAATATAAGACCCTCTACCCGCACCAAGTTTAAGGTTAATAATACATACAGGAAATAAACTCCCCAGATAAAGGAGTGATCAAATGAATAATTACCACCATAAATCATTCTCATCCACATTTCCCCAGTGTGAAAAAGGTGTGATAATCTTTTCGTGCACATTGGGAATTTGTAATGAAGGAGAAATGTATCTGCTGCTTCAACTTTTCTTGTTCTCCACAGTGACATTAATAAAATAAATGATGCTATTGCTGATCAAGTCGCAATCTTTATCCAGCGCTTCACCACCTTTGTTTGTGGATTCCTGCTAGGATTTGTCAGAGGCTGGAAGTTGACCTTGGTTATTATCGCAGTCAGTCCTCTCATTGGGATCGGAGCTGGCATAATTGGCCTGGTACGGAAGAATGTCCTGCCTATTGAAATAAGGCTCCCTGAGGTTACTTAAAGGGGCTTGGGGATATTGGGGGGTGGGGGGGCGGGGCGAAGATTCTCTCAGTTGAGGGAAGTTGGGGAAATAAACTACGCCGCCTTCGGTCCGATCTAAGTATAGTATATAAAATCATGCATTGCAATGCCCTACCTGTCAATGTATACTTCAGCTTCAACCATAACAACACTAGAGCAAACAATAGATACAAACTCAAGGTTAATCGCACCAAACTTGATTGCAGGAAATACGACTTCAGCAATGGTCAATGTCTGGAATACTCTACCGGACTCTGTGGTTTCTTCCCCAAACCCCAAAAACTTTAACCTTAGACTGTCTATTGACCTCACCCCTTTCCTAAGAGGTCTGTAGGGGGCGTGCATAAGCGCACCAACGTGCCTACCGTCCCTGTCCTATCGTTTCTTTTATTTTTTTAATTTTTCTTATATGTATCCATATATTCATAACTATGTTTTTTTTTACTTATACCTATTATCTGGTAAGCAATTGACAAACCAAATAAAATAATAAATAAATAAATAAATATTTTCAAGTGAAGGACAGGAAGTGCCTTGGTAACCCTCTACTGTACCATTTGCTCCTGCTTTTTTCTTTTTTTTAAAAAAAAAAAGTTAGCAGCCATTTCTTTGGCACAATTTCCCAGTAGTAATTTCTGTTGTACCTTATAAGGACTAATAGATGGGACACCTCAAGGAACCATTGGTTTGTGCCTTTGCTTTATTCTGGAGAAGGAAGAAAACAAGGAGGAACTGACCCAAAATCATTCAGGCCTAGGGCAGGACTAGAATTCACAGTCTCCTGGTTTCTAATCAGTGCCTGAAGGACCACTGGCTTCCATATGCATAAAGACGCCAACCCTTCATTTTGTTTCATGCAACCGAGGGAGAGAACTCTGATGTATGACAGCTTATGCTACAGAACATGGAGTCCCCTTTCAAGCACCTCACGATTCTTTGCTGCTTCATACATCAATGCTGAGTCAGTGTTCCTTGTTTAATCAACATGGTCATCACCTTGAATTTTGTCCCTGTAAAGGCAAGCCTTTAACTTATCTTAGTTGTACCTACACAGAAGTCTTCTGCAAAGCCAGAAGGCTGGAGAAAGCCTTCCTAACAAGCAGATTCTCCAAAGACACAAAATAGTGTGCTGATGAGTCCAGTTTCATTAATTAAGTAGTTTAATTAGACCAATGTTTTTTTTTCAAGTCATTTAAAACCTCTCAGAATGGGAGTGAAAGTTCACCCATCTTAAACTGGCCAAGTCTGAAAAACACTGAGTTAGATTTTGGCCTATACACCAAACTTTAAAAAGTGACTTTGTGCCACATTCATTCTTCTTGTTTTTGTTTCTGTTGTGTTAAAGTCTGTGGCAAAGTTGACAGGTCTAGAATTAAAGGCTTATGCAAAAGCTGGGGCCATCGCTGATGAAGTGCTCTCATCGATCCGAACTGTGGCCGCATTTGGAGGAGAGAAAAAAGAAGTTGAAAGGTTGGTTATATATCAAGTTTGTTCCTGAGCACCAAAGAAGCCAGCTGAATTGAAACAGACCATGATTGCTTAAGTGCTAAAGATGAATATTTATTGTGATAATTGAAAATAGGCTCTTTCTAGCAGTAATAGACTTAAGCTGTGTCAAGGAAGACACTCTGTTTTTATTTTAGCTTGTTGTGCCAGATGCATGAAACGGGAAGGTTTCCTCAAGATTTAGTTGCTTTCATTATACCAGCAATATTGTAGAGTTGGCCAAGTATTAGATAGGCGAACATGTGCGCTGCCTGTCACACAGCCTTCTCTTTAATTAGACATCAGATGTGATGGTGATTACTCTTTTGTTGCCAGTATCAAAATCTTTTTAGCTCACCTGGAATCCTCAAAAAACCATCCTGTACTTTTGCCTCAGGGATCAAAATGGCTTGCTGTGGCATTTTTAGTATTCATTCAAAACAAGAATTGGACATGTATGATGGGAACCTAGACAGCAGCTTTAATCTACGTGAGTCCTGTGGTTCCCTTTATTCACTATTTTACAAAGTGGATGGCTTCACCCATTATGCTTTTAAAAGAACGCAGTTAGCCTTGAATAATGCAACATTAGGGAAACATCTACTTAACCCAGAAAGACGGGAGCGGGTGTGGAAGAAATTCAAGTCTCTTTTGTCTTGACTTTCTTTGTTATAAGTGCGAAGGAGCGATAATATCTCTCAGGCTACTTACTTTGTTGTTATATAATATAATAACAAAGTAGTGTGGTAGGCCTAGTAGAAATTAGGCCTTAGGGTGTCTGATTCCTATCTGGCCTACTTTGAATGGCTGATAGTACTAGGTCAGAGGTGGGGAACTATGGCCCTTTCGTGACTTGTGGATTTCAACTCCCAGAATTCCTGAGGTGGGAATTGAAGTCCATAAGTCATAAAAGGGCCATAGTTCCCCACCCTTGTGCTAGGCAATGGATATTTGACCAAAGTTTCTTGATTAATTGGTGCAACAAGTAAGATGGTAAACCAAAGGTTAATAACCACAATGGCTGAGCTCATGCTAAACCAAAATTAAAGAGATCACATTATGATTTAGCCTCATATGCAAACCTAATCACTGATTGCCCAGCAAATCATCAGAGTTTAGGCAAGGGTCTTTTCCAGCCTTTCTTGGAAATGCAGAGAATGGGCTGTGATACCACGTGACAAGCAATTTTCCTATAAAGTATCCCAGTACTTATTTTTCAACAATGAAAGCTGCAAATTGATCCTTCATTTGAGTCAATCTTTTTTTTTTAATGTCCTTTTTTTCTTTTTTTCTTTTTTACAGATATGACAAAAATCTGGTGTTTGCTCAAAACTGGGGGATCAGAAAGGGAATCATAATGGGATTTTTCACAGGCTACATTTGGTGCATCATTTTCCTGTGCTATGCGCTGGCCTTCTGGTATGGCTCAAAACTTGTCCTTGAACAAGAGGAATATTCTGCTGGCACCCTTTTGCAGGCAAGTGTTTTCTAAAGCTTTTCCTTGACTTTGAACACAGTCATTCAGATATGAGGAGAGTCAGCAACACCCAGCAGCCCTTCACTTTCTGCCTAACTTCTGGGGTAGTAGACTCTGGAGTCATTATTTTATAAACAGAATATATATTTTTTTTAAAAAATGGTTGACCTCTGTAGATATCACTGAGGTAGCCATTTGTTGGAACCCAGAAATTACAAGAAGAAAACCCATCCATGAAGGGTTTCCCCATTTCTTTCCTCCTGCCACAGTGTCCAGTGTTTCCAAAAAGGATTGGTGACAAGCCAAAATGAAGTGAAATTTGCAGAGCATAAATATTGCAGAACCTTTCTGCTGATACCCGGTGTGGGTTGGATCTAAGCCCTGAAAAGACCAAGTCAGTTTCACTCTTTAGAAGGTGGTTCCGGTAGGGATGAGTTCCTGCAGCAAAACGTTACAGCGCAACCTGCTACTGTTGGCGGACTCTTTCCAGGAGCTTCCATTTGAATGCTATGCAAATCACTGAAAGGCGCTGCTTCCATTGGGGACACAAATGAGCCAACTCTTTTCCAGCTTTAAAAGCAGCTGTGCCTTTTGTAAAGTCCATGCAGCTGCCACAGAAATGATTCCCAGATGCTCTCGTGCAGAACCAGTTGACTTCAAGCAAACACTTTGCCCAGCCCTGCTCAATTCCATATCCTTTTCACATATGTTCTTCCCATCCCTGCTGTCCAGTAGCCTTGCATGCTTGCTTAAGCCTGTCGACTGTAAATACAGCTGATTTTTGGAGTTGAGGAGCTATTTCTTTCTTTTCTGAAGATGAGCTTGAATTTCTATAAGCCTTGCAATTCAAGCTGGTTCGTGTTGTGTCGTGGTACTACCACAAGACCCAGTAATTAGCTTATTATAACAACAGAATAACAGAGTTGGATGGGACCTTAGAGGTCTTCTAGTCCAAATCCCCTGTTCAAGCAGGAGATCCTATACCAGGGGCGTCAAACTCGTGGCCCGCAGGCCGGATGCATCACGCACTGGCCAAGCTATTTTATTGAAGGGGGAAAAAGTCACAATATGTCATGTTACAACAGGTTTGACGCCCTTGCCCTATACCATTTCAAACAGGTGGTTGTCCAATCTCTTCTTAAAAACCTCAAGTGCACCCACAACTTCTGGAGGCAAGTTAGTCCAGGGATTAATTACTCCATCAGGGAATGTTTCCTTTTTTTCTAGATCAGGGATGTCAAACTCGATTTCGTTGAGAGCCGCATCAAGGTTGTGTTTGACCTCGGGGGGCCAGGGTGGGCATGGCCAGCTTGGAGTCACTGGACCGCAACGGCCTCCTGAAAACCTCCGCCAGTAAAAATGGAGCTGTGCACTCATGAGCTCCATTTTTGGCCGCGACAGCCTGCAACCCTCTACCAGCAAAAAGCTTGGGGGGGCACGCCCAATCCCTGACCTCCATTTTCACTGGCAGAGGCACCGCAGGCCAGTCCTTCACAGTTTCCAGGGTGGCCCCACGGGCCAGATCTAAGCACCCCGCTTGCGGGATCCGGCCTGCGGGCCTTGAGTTTGACACCCCTGTTCTAGATTAAGACATAGAGTAATACAATTAATACTCTCTTAATACATACCAGGTATTTTCTAGACCTCTAAAATTTGCTTTGAATTAAGGGACCAGTCCCAGACTTGAAAACTGAAATAGCTTCCTTAGGTTGGGAGGTAAAAGAATCGTTCTATCCCTTTAATACTATTCCTAGTCTTGCCTTCTGGTAAAGAGGAAGATGTTATTTCTCAAAAGAACAAAATATTTTATCTGCCTTCCAGAAATACTGTTTTGGGGCATCTATAGCTACTGATTGTAATTTAGTATTGCCAGAAACTAATTTTTCCCCTCTTTATCCTTCTCAGGTTTTTCTCGGCGTCCTAGTAGGTGCCTTAAATCTTGGTCAAGCAGCCCCTTGCTTGGAAGCCTTTGCAACAGGTCGAGGGGCTGCCACAAATATATTTGAGACAATAGAGGAAGTAAGTAACCCACTGATTGCTTGGGGGGGCGGGGAAATAGATGAGAGTTTCAAGGAATGTAAAGTTAGCTTCTGCCAAGAATGCAAATGAGAAATATTATTGTGATTAAAAGAAATTGATTGCAGGTTAAAGCAAACCAGTAATCCTGCCTTGATATTTACAAAGAGTGCATTCATCCAAGTGACATTCCTAAGTGATTTTCTTATGAATATTCATCTTCTCACTGAGCCCCACTCTGTCTGTCAAAGAGGGCTATGCTTTATAAGGAACCTGATCGTCAAGAAAGGCAGTGAGACAAATTGCAAATTAAGTGGTTTCAGGAACTAAGTCATTCTGGTGCCTTAGGCGTGCAATTGTAAGAAAGAAAAGGAGGCCAGAAGCTCCGAGAATGAAATGAATATGTATAGCACTGCCAATGCTTCAGAATTTTGCAAAGGAAAAAAAAAACCCACTCAATAATTCTAAGCTATGGCTGTAGAAGCCAATTATATTCTTTCTATTAGTTTTATTCCTTGCTTTCCCAAAAATAAGCGGAATGCATATAAATGGACAACTCTATATATACACTGAACAAAGCCAGTGTGGATGTGTGGTTAAGGCATTAGGCTAGAAGTCAGGAGACCATGAGTTCAAGTCATGCCCGAAAGCACAAAGCCAGCTGGGTGACTTTTGGGCCGCTCATTCTTGCTCAGCTCTAGGAAAAAAGCCAATTAATTTCCAGAAAAATCCTGCAGATTAGACTAGGCAGTTACAAGGAATCAGAAACTGACTTGAAGGCATCAAAAGAAAACAAACAATATAAAACACATACTGAGTTGTTGGTTTAAGGAAGTCTTTTCTGCATTGGAGCACCAAATCCAAATTCTAGTCTACCTTAAGCCATGGAAACTCCCTGTTGACTTTGGGCCAGTCACCTACTCTCAGCTCAGCCTATCTCACAGAGTCACTGTGGGTGAAAATAGGAGGAGCGAGTCCTGTGTGTGCCACCTTCTGTTCCTGAAGAAAAGGTGGGATATAAACTAGCAAGCCAATCACTTGTTTGATCTAAATGTTCTGGTGCCATAAATGGATGGTGTAAATCAGTGTTTCCCAAACTTGACCGCTTGAAGATGTGTGGACTTCAACTCCCATAATTCCTCAGCCAGCCAGGGTGAGGCTAAGGGGCCTGGATGTTACATTTAGGGTTTCAAGAGTTTGACACATTCCTTAACTAGGAACTAGGTCAGGGGTGGGATTCAAATTTTTTTAACAACCGGTTCTGTGGGCGTGGCTAGGTGGGCGTGGCCATGTTACTGGGTGGACATGGCTTCTTTTCTTTTTTTTTTTGCAGAAAACTGCCCCCCCCCCATTTTTTTGCCACCTGAACCTCAGACAAGCCTCCTTGGGGGTGTTTTTGCTCCCAGAAGTCTTCCCTGGGGCCCAGGAAGGCAAAAAGCGGAGCATAGGGAGGGCGCGCAGCACCCCACCCCCCACATGCCCCTTTTTGCTTCCTGGGCCTCGGGGAAGCCTCCTGGGTGAAGCAGTAAGACAGCGAGGGGGATTCCACCACAGCTGATCATCGGAACAGCTGATCCTCAGGAGGGGGAAAAAAAAGAAATACCTTCAGTGACTGGGCGGGGAGAACACAGATGTTGGGCATGCATGCAATGTTGTGCATGTGCGGTAAGGACTGACTGGGTGGGGAGGGATGGAATGGGCGGAGAGGGGGCAGGACCAGCCAGGAGCACGATTCGCCAGTTCTCCGAACTGCGCAGAATCATAACAACCGGTTCTATAGAACTGGTGCTGAACTGGTAGAATCCCACCCCTGAACTAGGTGGTCTATCAAAACATTCATGGAAATGTTAAGTAATGTTAAACAAGTTGGGAGTGGAAATCAATAAGAGATAGAATAATCAGAAGAGCATTCTGAAAGTCTCTCTGTTCAAGGCCTGAGAGCCAGCAAGGGAGTAAAGATAAATCCTTCAGACAGGGATGTGAAACTAGCTACTGAAAGAAAGCTTCTTGAGAAAAAAAAAAAACAAATTGAGTGATCTGATTAATTCTACCCCAGAAACCTAGAATTGACTGTATGTCAGAAGATGGCTACAAACTGGACAAAGTCCGGGGTGAAATTGAATTCCATAACGTAACCTTCCATTATCCATCCAGGCCCGATGTTAAGGTAAGAACTCAAAAGGTTCTATTCTGCGGCATTGCCATAATTTCCAGATTTATTCTGGGAACCTAGCTAGGCCTTTTCAAATACAGTGCCATTTTCTTTCTTTCTTGTTTAAATCTAGATTTTAGATGAACTCAGCATGGTTATCAAGCCAGGTGAAACCACAGCCTTTGTTGGTCCAAGCGGCGCAGGGAAAAGTACCACAATTCAGCTGATCCAGCGCTTCTATGACCCTACCGAAGGCATGGTGAGGCTTTGACCTAACTCTTGTCATCTTTCTTTCATTGGGAAAATCCTGAAGCCCGATCCATTCTTGCTGCATATTTATCTTTGCAATTTACTATGAAGCCACACTCTTAGCCTCCTCTTATCAACTGGTCTTTGGACTCAAAGAGCAAAATAGCATTTATTGGTTTACCAAACTCAGATGCCATCTGCCTCATATAATGATGCTAGCCAGCTCATACTAATCAATACATACAGAGATAGAAACAGAACCATTTTTTCCACCAGTTGTCAGACCAAACAGTCTCCCAGCTCAACCTCCATCCTAGTCCAATGCTTGGAGGAAGAGTCATCTCTTCATGGCCTTCTGAGTGCTAAAAAGGTAGGGAATCCTTGAATCTCAAAGAGGAGGCTGTTCCAAATAACAGGGACAGCTACTGAGAAGATATGCATTTGAGGTCCTATCAGATGACAACATTTAAAAGACTGGAGCATAGACACTGTACCAAATCTCGTAGATGGGCAAATCACCTCAGGGACTTGAAACATGTCAAGGAGGAATGAGGCCACATTCATATTTATATGAGAGATGCCTGGGTTTCAGAACTGGAAATGGAAAACTTTAATACATGTATAGAATACATTCTGTGAATAGGATATTTGATACAATGGGAACTGTATCTTGACAGGTAGTTCTGTCAGGGCTCAGATCAGTTAAATTTCATATTTTGTGGTAAGCTTCATGAATCTCATTAATTTGCTTAACTCTGATTTTGTTGAGGAAGTTAGCTGGGTACATATTTCATTAGGATAAAAATGAAGAAAAATCCATTATGAGCTGGTCCAGGATGTGGCACAATCCACCTGTGTAAAAATATTTTAAAATTCTTTTCATAGTCTTTTAATATCCAATCCACTTTAGGTAAATGAAATTATTAAGTAATGTTATCTCACAGGCTGCATCTGAATTAAAATATCCAAGAAAAGAACATTAATCTCTGAAAAATTCAGAATTGGTTGGCACAGCCGCCCTAAATAAAGGTACCAGCTATTGTATCATTGCTCATTTCATTCATTGCTGACCAACTCTCACATATATTAGTAAGAAATTAAATAGATACTTTTTGTATTAAAGACAACTTCTGGGGTTCTTCCAGGGGACATCTGCAGAGGTATATCCATACAATGATCAGAATTCAAAGAATTGGGAAGCTAAAGCTATGTATCCAGAAAGACCTTACAGTATATTTGTCAACTCATAAAATATTTCTATGGTCTTTTTAGAGTTGCCAACAGAAAGAGTGGGGGGAGCAGTGCGGCAGCTTGCAAACTAAAAGTGCATTCAATAAATAGTTTTCAAAGATAGTAACTAGATGACTGAAGTTTCTCCCGTGCAAAATTCTAACTGGAGAGCATGATTGATGACTCTTGGCTATGGATGTGTCCCAGTGGAGAATATGAGTTACGATAACACCCAGGGGGTGGGGGAAAACCAGGGTCAAGGCTGACAATGAATTATATGTCTCAGAGTCGGCTACACCCAGACAGTGCCGAACATTTTAACTCCCAATAAATCCTTTTGAACTTTTGGAAGTTTGGCTCAAGACTCATGATTTATGTGGGGGTAACTGCCGGAATCTTGACAATATTACTCTTCCTTCCTTCCTCCTTCCTGCAAGGGATGTGCAGATGCTATAGAGCAAATGTTGTTTGAAACGAAGACCATATGTGGTTTGAGATGAAAGGAAAATTGTGGAAAACTAATAATCTAAGCTAAGCCTCAATCGCTGTGCTTTCAGGCATTGTATGTAGGAATTAGACACAAAACTGGAAGCAGTGCAGTACAGTGTTGCTATTTTAAGAAGCAGCTTCCATTAAGAGAGGAAGATGTTGACGTGAAGGTACAGGTGACCATAGTCTTTATCTACAAACTGTTGTTGTGCAGGTTACTCTAGATGGACATGACATTCGTTCCCTTAACATTCAGTGGCTGCGCTCTTTGATGGGGGTGGTGGAACAAGAACCTGTCCTGTTTGCCACCACTATAGCAGAAAACATTTGCTACGGTCGGGAAGATGCCACTATGGAAGACATCATCAGAGCGGCCAAAGAAGCCAATGCCTACAACTTTATCATGGATCTGCCTCTGGTAAAAGGAACTTCATCTTATCCCTTCTCAATCCTCTGCCAAGACTGTCTCTTACACCACATCTGCGTAGTTTGAGATCACTAAATCAGGGGTTGGCAACATGTTGTCCTCTACGCCAAAGGTGCTTTTTTTTTTTCAAGGGGCAACTGGACTTTCTGGTTTCTCTTTGAAGACATTTCGCTTCTCATCCAAGAAGCTTCTTCAGTTCTGACTGGATTCAGAGCTTCAGGATGGAGCTTCACCATCCAGTCAGAAAGAAGAAGCTTCTTGAATGAGAAGCAAAACGTCCTCAAAAAGAAACCAGAAAATCCAGTTGCCTTTTGAAAAAGCACCTCTGGGACAACCATGACCTGGAGAACTGAGAATCTCCATAGACATGTTGTTCTGTAGTGTCAAAGTAACCATGACGCTCAATATTACTTTGGTTAAATGATCCCTTGTAAGAAATGGCCAGCATCTCAAGACCTTCTTAACTCTTATGAACTCTCACGTACAATCTCATGTAAGTTCAGGTGAGAGGGGATAAGCTTTTAGCATCCTCTATTGCTAGATTTTTTACTAAGGGTTTCCGAGGGTGGAAGCCATATAATATCATGCCAGGCTGAAATGATTGTTGGGCCCTGTATTAATTTAAGACAAAAACTCACCACTCTGCAGGACTTTTATTGCTTTCTTAGCTGTTGCTGGGAAACTTAAAAGTTGTTGCTAGGCAATTAAAAAGAGAAAATTAGGGAGGGTGGTGGATTGCCATACAGGTAGTCCTCAATTTACAACCATTTGTGTAGTGACTGTTCAGAGTAACAATAGCACTGAAAAGAAATGATTTGTGGCCCGGTCCTTACACTTATGGACCATCCCAGTGTGTTCAGGGTCACGTGATCAGAATTTGGGAATTTGGCAACCAACATCTACTCGCATTTTTACATGCTTTCGAACTGCAAGGTTGGCAGAAGCTGGGACCATTAACGGGAGATCACTCCGTTATGCGGCGCTAGGGATTCGAACCGCCGAACTGATGACCTTTCTGATCGACGAGCTCAGCATCTTAGCCACTGAGCCACTGCATCCCTAAGAGGCAGGGTAGGGATGAGTAAATCTCATGCTAGGTCACAGTTTTCTGCCAGGTCAAAGATTTGAAGAGCAGGATCATCTCAGCAGTGTGGAGAGTCCTTAGAACCTCTATTTTCCCATGCTGCAAGAGTTGTTACAGGATTGGCAGCCCCCTCTTGGCAGGCTAGCCTTGCTATGTTTCTCTTCTTGGGCAAAACTTACTGGACATCCTTGCTTCATGAGCCCATGAAGGGCCTTCTCACGGAAGCAATAGGTTTCTTTTTCACCATATCTTTGGCCAGAAGACCAAGGTCCCAGTTGTTCCTGGGCTGCTTCTCCATCTTACCCCACTCAACATAATATTTATGATTGACCTAAGGCAGGGCTGGCTCAGGAATTCTGGGAGTTGAAGTCCACAAGTCCTAAAGGGGCCATTGTTCCTCACCTCTGACCTAAAGGAACTGAGATGAAAGCGCTTTGTAATGGTTGGACCGAACTTAACAGTAACCTTTTGCTCTTTCCACTATTTCAGAAATTTGACACCCTTGTTGGAGAAGGTGGTGGCCAAATGAGCGGAGGCCAGAAGCAGCGAATTGCCATTGCTCGGGCTTTAGTTCGAAACCCTAAAATCCTGTTGCTTGACATGGCTACATCAGCGCTGGACAATGAAAGTGAGGCTACTGTGCAAAAGACACTTTCCAAGGTTGGTGATGTTATTTCAGTTCAGTGGGGTTAGGAATCCTTGGCTTTTCAGTTTCTTTAAGTATGACCTCTTTTACAAACAGAGGTAATTCTCTTCACTGGTTTTAAACAACAGCTCTGGGATATAACATTACGATTAACATGGTAAAATGGTTGGAGTCTCAGATGAGCAATAGGAATTTCTTTTTGACTTTTCCATCCGCCACTTAGGCAGAGGTTGGCTGATTTAATACAGTGCATGAAGCATGTGGCTTGCCTAACTTTGGCTTTGCATGCTGTATGAATACAAACACCATTGTCTTTTAATGACCCTATAATCCCTTGTGGGGTGGAGTCTAGGCAAGTGAATGGAGCTGAGTGTTTACTGGCCAGATGACCTTCCTGTCACCAATGCGGAGTTATATTCAGTAGATATGATCTCAATGTGCCCAGAGAGAGAAATATCTGCTTCTACCTAGGATCAAACTCACAGCCTCCTGATTGTGAGGCGAGAGCTCCAACTCTAGGCCACTGCACCACTGTATGAATCCAGGCATCATGTTTTGTAAATGTGGTTTACAGCTTAGTTAAGTTTGTGATGGCAACTATTCTGTTTTATTCAATTTAGATTATGGTTTAGCATAATCGATGAATTTGAGCACTCTTTTAACTGTGGTGAATGGGGAAGAGAGGCAGCTACAGTATTTAGTCTAAAGCAGGTGTCCCCAACCACCGGGCCGCGGACCGGTACCGGTCCGCGGAACAACTCCTACCGGGCCGCGGCTTGCTGGGCGCCGCCATATTTTTTTCATGAAAAAGTGCTTCCGGTGAGCTTTTCCGGGTAGAAAGCTCACCGGAAGCACGTTTTCATCAAAAAAAGATGGCGGCGTCCAGCTAATGCCGGTACCGGGCCGCGGTGCCCAGCTGATGCCGGTACCGGGCCGCGGCGTCAAAAAGGTTGGGGATCACTGGTCTAAAGACTTTTAGGAACAATAACCTAAAATGAAAGTGTAGATTTGATTTAGATTTTGCACCTTCTCCAATGCACACAAGCTACTGATCGCTGCAATCTTCCTTTGAAATGAACGCAACAGCTCTTGTGAACAGAAAGACTGGTGGGCTTTTTTTTTTTGCTAAAAAAATAATGGCAGAGATGAATTTCAAAAAATTTAAACCTCACAAGCATTCCCTGTCCATCAGATGGGCGTGGCAGTTTCCAAAGAACTAGGTTTCAATAAAGAATGGGTTGCAGGACAGGCTCAAGAGATGCTGGCAAAAAGTATGTAGAGATATGAAGATCAGTTCACTTGATGGCTCTTTTTCACTCTCTGGATTACCTGGGCAAGCACTCTGGCCCACTCAGGTTTTGCTATCAGATTTTTCTCTAAAACCTCCTTCTGTTTTCATCTACAACTTTGCTTAAGATAAGAAAATTTTATGCAGTTTCCTACCATGTACACATTTGTTAACAAATTTTCTGGAAAATTGAATGCATCTCTCTTTGATTTCCTGAAGCTTCTGCAAGCATCATTTTCAAAAGAGGGCTGGTTGAAAGACAAAAGGAGGGTGTCCTTATAGGGAAGGAAGTAGTCCTTTACTTCCTCTACAGCTTTTGTATTTAAGAGTTTTTATCATTTTGAAAAAGGACAGATGAGAAATGTTTGCCTCCTTTGTCTGCTGTGGTTCAATCAAATTACTCTCTTAAGTTAGGTCCTGGAAATATTCTATTATTATTGTTTAAAATACATTTTAAAAATTGATGCACAAATGCTGAATACACAGAGTATGTTTTATGCATGCAAACAAATTCTATTTTTCAAAAAACATTCTTAGCTTGAACTACGATAAACATCAGGCAGTACTTCAAAAATGCAATCACCCAGAAACAGCTGTGTTATTAAGAAAGAGGGGTGGAATACTCCCTGCGGATTTAATTGGGGCTTCAGCAACACCGCTTATTTTATTTTTTAAAATTTGATTTATTCATCTGCACCTATCCAGATGGCTTTCTCTGTCAACAAATAGGAATGAGAGATTTTCTGACTTCATGGAAACTTAAATTCTGAAACAGATATAGATAAACAAAGAGGAACATTACGTTGGAGGGGGCGGAGCTGGCGTCGCCATGATACGGCATGCGATCTTGGAGGTCTGAGATCGCTGCCGATATCTTTGCTCCTGGACGGTCCATTTGGATCTAAACCATCCTGAAGAGACAGTGAATGTAAAGAGCGCATTCTGTCGATCCCAGGGATATCACAAAGTCCCTGGTAGATCCAGGAGAAGCTCTTTTTGCCAGCGGCTAAGAGGCAGCCATTAAAGCTGCTGAAGTTGGGACAGCTCCAAAACGAAAGAGAACGGAAGGAGAAAGTGTGCCAGTTTGGTGAGAACTTTTCTTTATTTAAAGATTTGAGAGGACACGCTAAGGGAAAGAAAGAATCTGTAAAAGTTTTTTGACAGAAGTGAATAAGCGCCGATTTTAAACAGGAATGTCAAAGTAATATTTTTTTTTTCCTTATTGCTGATGATCCTATATTTCGAAACTGGACTGGTTTTTTCCTTTTTTTAATCTACTCTTTTCTTTCCCCTTTTTGATTTTATAACATATTAAGCCAGAGACTCCCTTTTAGTCTTTTTTTTTAAAATTTCTTCCTTTTTAAACTAATTCTTATTATACTCTGCCGGAAAAGGAGGGGGAAAGTGAAAGCTAAAGAAACTTTGTAACACTGCCAACTAGAGACTTGGAAATACTCTACTTTTCCTTTGACCAGACAAAGCTGAGAAAGAATTGAGACTTTTTTTCAAGGACATTGCCTGTTTGATAAGATAGAGGGGAAGAGCATGGGAGAGTATTATTGCAGGTGCTCTTCTGGGTTTCTATCAACAGCTGAAGTCTGGTGTTGAAACCTAGGGGGGGAAATGGTGATAAGTTTTTGGAGAAGAGAGTTATAATAAGAGCCTTGGATAATTAAACAAAGTGCAGTGTGCTCTTTTTACTTTTTCTAAGTTGTGCTATCCCTCCTCACCAGCTTTATTTTATTTCATTTTATCTTTTTTTTTTTTTTTTTGCAATAGCTATTTGGATCTTTAGCTTTGTTGGAGCTTGTCTTTTTTTTCTTTTTTTTTCTTTGGAAGTCTAATCTCTATGCTTGCTTTTTATTTTAAAGGGAAAGCTTTAGTATTAATGTTTCCTTTTTAAAAAGGGAATAGCCTTTTTTTCTCCTTTCCTGGTATTTTTGTTTTTTCATCTACCTTTCTAGTTTATTTTTATGCACTCTTTTCTATTTGAGACCTCTCAATTGGATTAAGGTGTTGAAGAACCTGAAGAATTTTTCCTTTTCTTTTTTTTTTCAAGACTTTTTCTTCATCTAACCACCGATTGGATTAAGGTATACAAGAACCTGAAGATATTTTGTCCTCCCCCTTTTTTTTATCATTACTATTTGGCTTCTTTTTTCTACTATTTTTATTTCGAACTACAATTGGTTATTTCACAATTGGATTAAAGTTTAGAAGAACCTGAAGATTTTGAATTGCTTAAAATGAGTAGGAAACTAACAGCTCCTGGTTCTTCAACTTCTACTTCCTCCTCTCCACCATCTGGAGGACAACGTTCAATACAGACAATGTTAAAGCAAGAAAAAGAACAAGAAAAAGTGACTCTGCAGATGATTATGCAAGGAATTCAAAATATTCAAGCAAGATCAGAGAATATTGAAAAGAGAATAGAGAACATTGAACAAAGAACAGAGAACATTGAATAAAGAACAAGGAAAACCGATGAAAAAGTGGAGAACATTCAACAAATGATGTTGAAGTATGATGAGAGATTCCAAAAAATTGAAGAAGAAGATAAACAAAGAGACAAGAAGATTGGAGATATTGATAATAGATTAACAGTAGTTGAACAAGATAAAAGTGGTATGTTGAGATGGGAGATGGATAGATCAGAATTCTATCTTAGATTCCAAAACGTAGAGGAAGAAAAAGGACAAAACTTAGCTGAGATAATGATAGAAATACTGGCTGAACCTTTGGAAATAACTCAAGAGAAGATGATGGATGGAATAGATGAGGTTTATCGAGTTTTCACAAGATATGCAATGAGAAATAGCTTACCAAGAGAAGTTCACAGTAGATTTACAAAGAAAGCCATTAAAACGCAAATATTGCAAGTGGCAAAAGAGAAAACATTGAAATATAAAGACAAGGAGATTGTGGTCTTGAAACAAATACCCAGAAGAGTGAGAGAGATGAGAAGAGAATACCGATTCCTGACTAAAATGCTACTTAAAAAAGAGGTGAATTATAGATGGCTGATTCCAGAAGGTTTAATGTTCACATGGCAAGAACAGAGACATAGAATTGACTCAATTGAGAAAGCGGAATTATTTTATACAGAATTTTTTGGAGGGAAAGAGGAAGAGGCAGAAAAAGAAATCTCACTAATTGAATTCCAAGAGGACTCCCAAATGGCGATTGAAAAAGAAGAAGGTGCAGTAGGTGGAAAGGTGGAAGCCAAAGAACAACGTGAACCAAGATCTACGAGAGCTGCTAAACCTAACTACAAAATATAACCATGGAAGAAAGAAAAAATGATTACAATTAATATAAATGGATTTAACTCAGCCGTTAAAAGAAGGAAACCTTTCATAAATTAGAGAAATTAAAATATGATATAATTTGTCTACAAGAAGTACATATTAAAAAACAATATGAACAATTGTTGATACCGCCAAAACTAGGGAAAATATTTACTTCCTTAACACAATGTAAGAAAAGAGGAGTGGTTTTATATATTAAAGAGACCATCCCAGCAAAATTGATTTATACCGATGATGACGGAAGAATACTAATGGTGGAAATAATGGACAATAATATGAAAACACTCCTGATTGCAATCTATGCCCCGAATGACAAACAAGAAGAATTCTACAAAAAATTACATATGAAAATAATTGAACCGCACTATGCTAATATAGTTATGATGGGAGATTTTAATGGAATTGTAGACAATAAATTGGACTATACAGCACAGAAAACAATAAAGCAAAACAGAAAGACTCTCCCTAAATCTTTTTTTAAAATGGTAGATGAAATAAACTTAAAAGATACATGGAGAGAAAGAAATGCTAAAACTAAACAATACACTTTCTATTCAAATAGACACTTATCATGGTCCAGAATAGATAATATGGATGTCAACAGAATTAATAACTAATATTCAAGAAATAAATATTGAAACAAGTACTTGGGCAGATCACAATCCAATGACAATTAAATGGAAAGGACAAAAAAGAAGGTCTAGATGGACGTTAAATAATACTATTTTAAAGGAAAAAGACTTCACACAGTGGATGGAGAAAGAATTGGCTTTTTTCTTCAGAGAAAACAAAAAAGAAGATACATCAATTCAGAATGTATGGGATACAGTGAAGGCATATGTTAGAGGCTTGATAATAGACTATACAAGGAAAAGAAATACTATGAAAAGATTAGCCTCTAAGGCCTTAGAGGATGAGTATAAAAGACTTGAAAAAGAGCCACAGAAAAAGGACATCATGATAGAGGGAGAACTTACAGACTCTATCAATATAAGAAAAGGAACAAGACAAGGATGCCCACTATCACCTTTGTTGTTTGTGTTAACTTTGGAAGTGCTAAACAGAAATATTAGAGATGAAAAGAATATAAAAGGAATGAAAATCAAAAAGGAAGAATTTAAGCTGCAAGCATTTGCAGATGATCTGGTTTTCATCTTAGAAGACCCTCTAGAAACAGCACCAAAATTGATAGAAAAGATAGAGACATATGTAAAGGTGGCTGGTTTGAAAATAAATAAAGATAAGACAAAGATCTTGACAAAGAATATGCTATTAAGACAAAAGGAAGAACTGGCAGACCTATTGAAAATTCAGGTCACGAATAAGATCAAGCACTTGGGGATATATTTGACAGCAAGATGTGGTACACTAAAAGAGAATAATTATATCAAACTTAAACAGCAGATAGCGCTAGATTTGGCGAAATGGGAAAATTTACAACTGTCGCTAATAGGGAGAATTTCAACAATCAAGATGAATATATTACCCAGAATTTTATATTTGTTTCAAACAATTCCAATTAGGCTTGGAAAAGATTACTTTGAAGATTTAAATAAAATTGTGTTGAAATATATATGGCAAGGTAAGAAAGCGAGAATAAAGTTAAAACTTTTGCAAGATGCTAGAATTAGAGGAGGATTTGGTTTGCCTAATTGGGAGTTGTATTATCAAGCTACAAATCTGATGTGGGTTAAGGAATGGATAACACTAAGAAATACTAGATTGTTGACATTAGAAGGACATGATTTGTTGTTGGGGTGGCATGCTTTTTATGGTATAAAGGAACTAAAACACAGGGGTATTTTAGAAGACATTATATACGGGAGTCTCTGTGGTTAAACTGGGAGAAGATTAAAATACAATGTTATTTGAAAATTCCAGTCTGGCTATTGACTATTGAAGCATTTTCTTATCCTATAATATACAAAAAGGAACAAACAGTTAGATATGGTGAAATATTGAATGAAAAGGGTGAACTCAAATCTATACAAAAACTAGAGGAGCAAGTTATCAAGATGAATTGGTTTTCATATGCGCAAATACATTCAAGGTATGATAAAGATTCTAAAATGGAAGGTTTCTATGATAAATTGACTGATTTAGATAAGATTTTGACAGGTACTGATGAAAAGGTGATTAAAAAATTGTATTGATATTTATTAGAAATTAAATTAGAAGAACAAGTTAAAGAAACTATGATTGCTTGGGGGAAGAAGAAGACTAACATCCACATGTGGTTGGAAAAAATGACAAAAAAACATGTAGACTTGAAACTAGAGATATTTTTATTGGGAATTTTACCTGAAATATATAGTAAAGACTTGAAATATTTGATTGTAAATGTATTAACAGCGGCTAGGATTGTATTTGCCAAAAACTGGAAAAATGAGAAAACATCATCACAGGAGGAAATCATTAAGAAAATATTGGAATGTGCTGAAATGAGTAGATTGACATTTGAAATTAGAGAACAAGAGGATAAACAATTTTATAAAATTTGGGATCTATTCTATCAATGGTTAGACAATAAAATACAGTAATGAATTATGTAGACTTTTAGAAAATAATAAATATATAAAGATGTACTTCTTTCTTATTATATCTACAAAATGATTTTAGGATAGATTTGGGATGATAATATGAACTGTTATAAAACAAACTAATTATGATTATCTTGTAAAACATGAATGAATAAAAGTATAGTCAAATGATTTATTAATAATGATACTAAGGTATTTAATTTTTGATTGAAAATACGAGATTATATGCAATGTAATTGTAATTGAAGACTACGAAATGGAAGCACAAAACAATTTGTAAACCAACCGGCACACTGTATGTATACATATGGAAGACGGCTTGATGTTTTTATGTTTTGTTTGTTTATGTTTGTTTTTAAAAAGCAATAAAAACTTAAATAAAAAAGAGGAACATTACGTTGAAATTAGCAAGGGAAGACTATGTGATTGCTTTATCTTCTTACAACGAAGATGTAGAGGAAGATTTGGCAATAACCGCTTCTGTAGCCTCCAACCTCCAAAGATTGTACTGTCAAAGTCATTTTATTTTTTTTTGCAGTGTCATCTTCCTTCCTAGGCTAAAATATGTGCGGTGTCACCACCATGGCTTCTTCAGATCACAGAGACTTTAAATGATATGAAAAACTGTGCCCCAGCAACCAAGGAAGGTACCCACCTTAGCACCGAATATTACAAGGTTCCTCAACATAGTATATGTGGGGATGAATGTCCTTGTTCACACCTTTCTTGGAATTCTTGGAGATTTGAACACTAGCTATTATATTCTAGCTATTGTAACTATCTTCTGGTTGAGCACGGGTGCCACATGGTTGTGATGGCAAATGTCATCTGGTACATTAGCTATTGTATTCTGCACAAATTGAAGCTTCTGGATAGTACCGCATCTTGGATTTGCTCTTTCAGGGGAAATGCCTCCCATCCCACTGCTGGAGAATGACGGTCATAGCCATAAAAACAAACAAACAATTTCCATCAATGCTAGGACTTTGGTTCAGAAAATAACACAGTTCAAGCATTCAGGCCACACAGGTTTATTAAGGATATTTTGCTTTTATTACCAGTTCTTGAGTTCCATGGCGCATCAGTTCCCATGTCACTTTAAGGAATCTTTTGACATTTGTATAGAGCATCCATACTTGTAGAGAGAGATCAGTCAATTAAGGTTCATTCCATCCTCTGGGATGACAGAAGTACAGACTGAACTTTCATGAACGGTGGTGCCTCCAAAAATCTTTCTTTTCTTGCCGTAGGCTCGTTTTGGGCGCACTGCAATTTCCATAGCTCATCGCTTATCCACAGTGAAATCTGCTGACATCATCATTGGGTTTGAACATGGAAGAGCTGTGGAAAGAGGGAAACATGAAGAGCTGATAGAACGGAAAGGAGTGTACTTCACGCTGGTAACGTTGCAAAGCCAAGGCGACAAGGCACTCATGGAAACATCAATGCAAAGCAAGTACCTGATTTTGTATCTTTAATGTGCCTAACTCAAATCATTAACTTCCTGTTAATGAAGCTTGAGTTTTATTTTATTTTATTTTATTTTGGTTCCACAGAGAATTAGACTTCACATATTTCATAACCAAGGAAGCTGTCCACTTTAGGATCAAACGATTTCTTCTTGTACTGTATTAAACATAGCTCAGATGTTATTTACTCTGGTATTAACTCTCTTAAGGGACCTTAAAAACCTCCCGTTTCTTTTAATTGAAGGTATCTAGGGCTGAAACTTGAGCTGTGAGCATGTATGTAACACAGGCCCTGTAAAGAATTGATGGAGTGGTTAGTGGAAACATACAGATACCTTCAGCCAGAATTTTCTGCATATATCCAGTAACCAAATCCACTTGCGATGCAACAGTTCTTCTAAATCATTTTTTTTGTCTTCACCTAATGTTCTGAAAAGCACTTCCCTTCCCAATAGCAATAGCATTTAGACTTATATATTGCTTCATAGTGTCTTAGAGCTCTCTCTAAGTGGTTTACAGAGTCAGCCTATTGCCCCCAACAATCTGAGTCCTCATTTTAGCGCCCTTGGAAGGATGGAAGGCTGAGTCAACCTTGAGCCTGGTCAGGATGGAACTCCTGATAGTGAGCTGAATTAGCCTGCAATATTCATTCTAACCACAGCTGCCTTTTTCCAATGATAACCCATCTCCAACTATTTACATTTATAGTGCAGGAACTGATTGGTACAGAAGCTCACGACGAGGCAGACTTTCTGCTCCTAACAACTACCTGTTTATTAACGTCACTAGCAGCACCTTAGCACCACCTGTTCAGGGTTCTTCCTTGTGTATTGAAATCTATTATCAAATATCTCACTGGAAATAGGCTTTATTTTAACAATATCAAAGAAAACAGGCAAACTTTGTGCTGGGCTGTTCCATTTGAGAATGAGGGAAGAAATGTTTTCTCCATATAAAACATGGAGTGGTATAACTGTGATGACCCGTAGTCTCTCAAAATAACCCAAAACCCAAAACATATATTAAAGCCCGGTAAAGCCTTCAACTTAACTTCACTGTTTTATTAGGCACAATTTAAAGTCACAAAAGTAAATAATGAGGCAAACAGAAATCCAAAACAAACCACATTGATGAGAGTTCCGAAGCAAGCCAAGATAACTAATTATAAACTCCAGGAAAATAACCAAGAAAAGTCCATGGGAAGAACGCCAGCAAAGATAAGCCTCTTTCAAGGTAAACATTAATTGACTCCAGCAATTCTAACTATGTAGTTGCAAACTTATATACATAGCTCCCACCTGCAAGCCACGAGGAGAATCATGGTAATCTCCTCTTGAGTAGACCTCGCTTTTCCCTGATCCTCTCCTCCCTGCGTGACCTAGGATGGATAGGGGATGGGCCTGGATCCTCCTCTGACTGCTCAGCCGGCCTCTGCCCTTCCCCAGCCTCCTCCACCACCTCTGGAGCCACACTCCCACTCCCTGTTGGCTGCTCCTCCTCTTCCTCAGACTCAGACTCCACCAGGGGCATAACACTATTCCCCCCCCGGGACCAGGTGGACGAGGACGTTGAGGAAACCGAGCGTAAAAGTCCTGGACCAAACGAGGAGCATGAACATCAGTGGCATCGATCCAGGAGAAGTCCTCTGGTCCATAACCTCTCCATGCCACCAAATACTGAAATCGGCCCCGCAACTGGCGTGAATCTCGGATGCTATCCACTTTGTACTCCTCCTCTTGCAGAAGGGCTACTGGGGCCGGCTGTGATAGAGCCGGTCTATGCGGACTGTTGGGAGAGGCAGGGACTAACAGGGAACGATGAAAAACAGGATGGATACGCATGGTCCTTGACAGGGAAAGATGATAAGCCACAGGATTGATCACCGCCTCGAACGGAAAAGGTCCCAAGTAATGGTGATCGAATTTTTTTGATGGTCGTGTCGTTGGTAAATATTGAGTAGAGAGCCAAACCCGATCGCTGACCGATAAAGGTGGAACATTGCGACGATGTCAGTCTGCAAACCATTTATAGTCTTCCTTGGCTCTCTCTTGTTGATCGCGGACCATGTGGTACACGGCTTTTAACTCCTGCAAAAACATATCCACTGCCGGAACTGGGGAATCAGACGGGGCTAAAGGGAAAAGTCATGGATGAAACCCATAGCTAGCAAAGAAAAGGGACACACGGGTGGATGCATGTTGAGCATTGTTATAAGCGAATTTTTCCACCAGCAGCACTTCCACCCAATTGTCTTGTTGAGTATTGCTGAAACAGCAGAGGTACTGCTCCAAAATAGCATTCACTCTCTCTGTCCCCCCATCAGTTTCGGGGTGATGAGCAGATGACGCCTGAACCTTCAGTTTCGCGAGTAGGGTCTGCCAGAAGTGTGCCGTAAATTGTACCCCCCGATCCGATACCATGTGGTCTGGTAACCCATGCAACTGGAAAACATGGGAGATAAACAATTGAGCCATTATCTTGGCCGATGGAAGACCCGCACGCAGAATAAAGTGGGCCATAGTCAACATATCCACCACCACCAAAATGGTTGTGGCACCATTCGATGGTGGTAACTCAACGATGAAATCCAATGAAACTGCCCCCCACGGTCGTTCTGGCATGGGCAAGGGCTGCAAGAGACCAGGGGGCGCACCAGGAGCATACTTAGCTTGGCGACAGATCCCATAGGACACCATATATCCCAACACATCATGTTTAAGTCTCGGCCACCAAAATGTCTAGAGATGAGGTGCAGTGTTTTGAACACCCCAAAGTGTCCTGCCGCCGGACTATCATGACATTGACATAGGATAAGGCCATGAAGAGGACCTCCAGGCACATAAATGTGATCACGGAACTGCAACAGGTCCCCAATATAAGTCCAAGGAGTCTCCCATTCTCATCCAATTCTCGACGTCGAGCTGCCACAAATGGGTCCTGCCGCTGCGCCTCCTGAATCCTCACTCGAAGGTCGACAGGTTCCTCAGTGTCCGCAAGCTGATCCAACGGACTCACCGTCCGGGGCAAGATTTTATCCTCCCTTTGGGTATACTTGGGCTTCTGAGATAGGGTGTTGGCGCATTGATTCCCTTCACTTGGAACATAGGTCACCCGAAAATCGAATTGAGCAAAGAATAAGGACCATCTCACCTGACACTGGTTCAATGTCCGAGCTGTACGTAGGTGTTCCAAATTGCGATGATCTGTCTGAACCTCGATTTGGTGACGAGCCCCCTCCAGGTGGTACCGCCATGTCTCAAAAGCGACCTTAACCACCAATAGCTCCTTGACCCAAATTGTATAGTTGCGCTCTGAAGCTGACAACTTCCGGGAACAATAAGCGCACAGGAACAAGGTGCCTGCGGGAGCATAGGCCTGGAGGAGCACCGCACCAACAGCCACATCGGAAGCATCTGTTTCCACCACAAATGGCTGGCCTGGATCAGGGTATTTGAGGATAGGCTCAGAAGTGAAGGCGACTTTCAACACCTCGAAAGCTGCCTGTTCCTCACCACCCCAATGGAACTTCTCCCCCTTCTTGAGCAGATTAGAAAGGGGAGCAGTCAATGCAGCAAAGCGGGGAATAAATGTGTGGTAGTAGTTCGCAAACCCCAACAGTCGTTGCACATCCTTAACCCGCTGTAGAGGTTCCCACTCCTGCAATGATTGTATTTTTTCCAGGCCCATTTCCACCCCAGCAGGTGAAATACGATGTCCCAAGAAGTCAATCGTGATTTGTGCAAACTGACACTTCTCATGTTTAGCAAACAGGTGGTTATCACGCAAACGTTGCAACACCAGCCGCACATGCTGCCAATGTTCCTGCAGGGAGTCTGAGTAAATCAAAATGTCATCTAAATAAATGACCATGAATTGATCCAACAAATCACGGAAAACATCGTGCATGAAATGCATGAACACAGCTGGGGCATTGGTCAATCCAAAAGGCATCACAGTATACTCAAAATGCCTGTACCTCATCCGGAAAGCTGTTTTGCACTCGTCCCCTGCACGAATGCGAACCAGATTGTAGGCCCCACGCAAGTCCAACTTCATAAAGATCTTAGCTTGACGAAGCCGCTCAATCAGTTCAGGGATGAGGGGAAGCGGGTACCGATTCCTCACTGTGATTGCATTCAACTTGCGGTAATCACAACACAAACGTAGCTCCCCCGATTTCTTTTTCAAAAAAAAGCACTGGTGCAGCCAATGGGGAGGTAGAAGGCCATATAAACCCTTTCCTTAGGTTCTTGTCAATAAAATCCCACAACAGGGCCAACTCCGGTTCCGACAGGAAATATATCCGACCCACTGGCAATTTTGCATCGGGCAACAAGTTGATTGGACAGTCATGCGCCCGATGTGGAGGCAACTGATCCGCCTCCTTCTCCCCAAACACATCAGCAAAGTCCACCAACTCCGCAGGTAGATCCAGGTCCACGGGCATAGCTACACTCTCTGCACAGGAGCGCAAGCAATGGTTGGCACACTTCCTATCAAGGAACTGCACAGCTCCAGATGACCAGACAATCTGTGGATCGTGGGCCTATAACCACTCCAAACCCAGCACCACCGGAAAATGAGGCACTGCTGCAACGTAAAACACGGTTTCCTCCACATGCTGCCCAATACACACGTAAAGGGGTTTGGTTGCAGCAACCAGAGGTCCCAAACGAAGGGGCCGACCATCAATCGTCTCCACCATGACTGGTGGGGACACCTGTTGCTGAGGAATGAACCACTGCTTGACAAAATGAGCATCCATGAAATTGGCTGTGGCCCCTGAGTCGACCAAAGCTGGGATTTCCACCGCTCCCACACCAGGTACAAACACATTTGTTGGCAGCACAAGATGCTTCATCAATAGCGACTGTGGTGGAGATGTTGAAGATTCAAAGGTGGCAAGGGTGGCAAGGTTGGTGAAGATGGTGGGCCTATGGACTTTACACCCCAACCTGCAGACCCCTGTAGGCCGAGTGATGCTCATTTCCTGCCACCTCAGGTGTCGCTGCTGTGGATGTCTTAACAGGACACTTGGCCACAATATGGCCTCAATTGCCACAATAGAGGCATAAACCATCACAACGACGTCCATTCTTTTCTACTTGAGTCAGGCGAGGGCAGCCAGCCCCCAGCTGCATGGGCTCCTCCAAAGGACGGCATCTCGGTTCCACCAAGGGTGCCATCTTGCTGGAAACAGATACGGTCTCTGTCCGTTGTCGCACCCGTCACTGCTGGAGTCTAGCATCGATACGAAGACACAAATGCATGATCTCCTGAAGGGGGCGAGGGCATTCAGTGTGCGCCAAGTCATCCAGAAGCTCCGACAACAAACCCTCCTGGAACTGGTCTAATAGTGCTGCCTCATTCCATTGTACATCCTGAGCAACTACCCAAAAACTAGCAATATAATCCATGAGTGAGGCACGCCCCTGCTTCAGCTCTCTCAAATGTCTGTTTGCTGTTTGGCTTCGAACAGGGTCCTCAAACATGGCCTGAAACTGACGGCAAAACTCAGCGTAATTGTCCAACATCTGGTTGTGCTGGGTCAGCAGAGGTGTCACCCAACGTGCTGCAGAGCCTAACAACAAACTAATCAAAAACCTCACCTTATCCCAGTCATTGGGAAAGTCCTCAGGCCGAAGGCTCATGTAAAGCTGGCACTGCCCCCAAAATGCTGGAAATTGGGCCAGCGAACCATCAAATTTATTTGGCACTGCCACTGGGCATTTTTGGTGTGGCCGGGCAGCTTGCATTTGTGCCACCTGTGCAGTCAAAAGAGCCACTTGCTGGGTTAACTGGGCAATCTCTGCTCTGAGCTGATCCATGGTCACCCCACAAAAAGCAAAAATAAGTTGAAGGGGTGGCTGGAGTCAAAATGTGATGACCCGTAGTCTCTCAAAATAACCCAAAACCCAAAACATATATTAAAGTCTGGTAAAGCCTTCAACTTAACTTCACTGTTTTATTAGGCACAGTTTAAAGTCACAAAAGTAAATAATGAGGCAAACAGTAATCCAAAACAAACCACATTGATGAGAGTTCCGAAGCAAGCCAAGATAACTAATTATAAACTCCAGGAAAATTACCGAGAAAAGTCCATAGGAAGGATGCCAGCAAAGATAAGCCTCTTTCAAGGTAAACACTAATTGACTCCAGCAATTCTAACTACGTTGTTGAAAACTTATATACATAGCTCCCACCTGCAAGCCACGAGGAGGATCATGGTAATCTCCTCTTGAGTAGACCTCGCTTTTCCCTGGTCTTCTCCTCCCTGCGTGACCTAGGATGGATAGGGGGTGGGCCTGGATCCTCCTCTGACTGCTCAGCCGGCCTCTGCCCTTCCCCAGCCTCCTCTACCACCTCTGGAGCCACACTCCCACTCCCTGTTGGCTGTTCCTCCTCTTCCTCAGAATCAGACTCCACCAGGGGCATGACATTAACTTTCCTCTTGACTTTCTTGTGGTGAGTTTGTAATGATAGTTTGGTAAAGGGGAGGGCTCAAATAAACCCAGTTGGCTACTTGCAACATGAAATGATGCAACCATGAACAGCATCTCCCTGCACCTTTGCTCCTGGTGAGCAGAAGACAATTAGTCTTCTTAACATTTCTGTGGGAAAGTTCAGTGTTACTGTAAGTTATGAAAATTGCCATATGGAAAAGAGGTGACTGCTTGTTTGCCAAGTGAGCAGAGCTAAAAAGGTGCTTTATCAACTGTTTAAATGATCAGGGGGAAAAAAAAAACAAGGCTGGAGATGCAAGTGTTAAGTACCATACAGAAATGTTCAGTCTTATAGTCTATGGAGATTCTCAGTCATCCAGGTCATGGTTGTCCTGCTTTTTCAGGAGGCAACTGGACCAGTGGTGGGATTCCTTTTTCTGTGGGCGTGGCTTGGTTGGGCGTGGCAGGGGAAGGATACTGTAAAATCTCCAGTCAGAGGTGGTATTTGCCGGTTCTCCAAACTACTCAAAATTTCCACTACCGGATCTCAAGAACTGGTCAGAACCTGCTGAATATCACCTCTGAACTGGACTTTCTTGTTTCTTCTTTTGGAAATGTTTTGCTTCTCATCCAAGAAGCTTCTTCAGCTCTGAGTGGAAGGTGGGGAATGAATATGAATCCTTCCATTCCCCAACATGTAGTCAAAGCTGAAGAAGCTTCTTGGATAAGAAGCGAAATGTCTTCAAATAAAAAAAAACACCAGAAAGTCTAGTTGCCTCCTGGAAAAAGCATCTTTGGAACATTCAGTCTTATAACAGATTTTGTCATGCTCCTGGTGGAGACTGACTCTGAGGGAGAGGAGGAACAGCTGACAGGGAGTGGAGGTGTGGCTCCGGAGGTTGTGGAGGAGGCTGGGGAAGGGCAGAGGCCGGCTGAGCAGTCAGAGGAGGACCCAGGCCCATCCTCTATCCATCCTAGGGCACGCAGGGAGGAGAGGATAAGGGAGAGATGTGGTCTCCACAGGAGGAGAGGGCCTTGATCCTCTTCATGGGCTGCAGCTGTGACACCTGAATAAGAGTTTGGACCTGCGTACTGGCAAACGCTGGAAACAAATCGTGTAAATATCTCTAGTTTATAGTTCCTCTCTGAGTTTGGCGTCCTTCCCAGTGTGTGTTATCTGTGGACGTCCTCCAGCCTTTATCTTGCCTGGTTTGTGTTGCTTTTTTCCTTCTCTGTGTAACTGTGTAGGAGTTTTTTTTATCTTCCATCAAAGATATTTGGAGCTTGGAAGCAAACTGAAGGAATAAAAGGGGCTTCACCTGTTTTCTGTGACTGTGTTTGTTTTGTATCCCACCCTGGGTCATCCCAGATTTGCTTGAAGTTAATGTTACTTGACTAGATTTTTTTCTCTCTCTTGGATTCTCTTACCTTTGATTGTTGCCATAAATCTTCTATTATTGTATTTATAGTACCTGACCCAAGGCTTGAAAAAATGCAGTCTTTCAGCAGGGGAAGCTATCAAGCAAGCTTGCGGTAAGCCTGATTGATCCAAAATAATCTTAGAATTTAAACAAGAACATATGGCAAAACATTTGATAACATCTGCCTGTGTGAAGGTTTGAAACTTAAGAGAATCTGTTAGAAAAGGAAGTAGATCCATACCCATGTCTATAAATAATGTAGTGAAATTCTCTTTGTTCTTTACAAGTACAGAATCAGAAGCTTCTGGTTCTGAATAAAGATAATATTGGTAATAATGGACCCCCCCTTCCATTTTATGATATGTTGAAGGGAATGTCAAATATGGTGTTCAGGCTTATTTTGCAGGAAATGTTATCCTAAGAAAGTGTCTGGTTTCCCCCTAACCACATCTGCATTTCCTTTGAATTCTTCTTGGACCATTGGAAAGGAAAGGGGAAAGGAAAGGAATTGGAAAGATACTAGATCTAGGACATATAAAGATGAAATATGACAATATATAACCTAAAGGCATTGCCTTGAAAGCAAACAAAAAATATTGTAGATCAGAAATCCTTTTAGACTTTCAAAAACCCAAATAATTCAAATTATATGACTTTTAGCCACCTAAATTGTACATTTTTTAAAAAGTTCATTTATTTGGGGGATCTGAAAGTTTTAATTTGGGACAATGGAGCCCTGGCCCAAGAAATGGCAAAGATGTGATGTCTTCTCCCCCTGGATACGGTAACCTGATCTTCCCAATTTCTCTGCCGACATAGACAATGGGGATTTTAAAGGGATTGTTTTAATCCTCTCTTAAGCTGCAGGTGTGTGAGAGACGTGGGCATGGAACTAAAAAATTCATTTATACCAACTATCATGAATTGAGACCATAAATATTAAGGCTGTGTGCCTTAATACTGAAAGGAGGAATGTTTATAGATGCAGTACCTCCCCCCTTTTTTTTTTTTTAAAAAAAGAAAAGGTTCCTTTCTGTGCAAAACTGGGGGGAAAAAGGGACTGCTGCCATACCAAGTGGATTCCTCAAGTGTATTGACCTTTTTTTCTGGCCTTGAGGATTTTTTGTCACTCAGTTGGGTGAAAAATGAGATACTCTGGGTCTCTGGATAGCAAGAGCACTTAGACTTATATACTGCTTCACAGTACTTTACAGCCCTCTTTGAGCAATTTACAGAGTCAGCCTATTGCCCCCAACAATCTGGGTCCTCAGTGCACTGACCTCAGAAGGATGGAAGGCTGAGTCTACCTTGAGCCGGAGAGAATCGAACTGCTGACAGACAGCAGTCAGCAGGGTTGCCTGCAGTACTGCATTCTAACCGCTGCACCACCACAGCTCTTAAACTGATGACTTAAACTGAACCATAATCTCAAATATCAGATGCAATAAGAATATAACAGTGGCATCAAAACAAAGCTCATGGTGGCATTTTATAGTGTATAATAAAATTATATAACAAATGCATCATTTCCTGAACTCCTGAGACAACACAAGAGTGTGATTGGACTTTTCTCTCTTTCGTAGAGCATCTCTTCGACAGCGTTCCAGATCTCAGTTGTCAAACATAGTCCCTGACCATCCAGCATCAATTGTAGGATCCTATTCAGAGCGCAACTGTAGCATATCTCACTATGAAGAAGATGAAAGGCCATTTATCAAGGTCAGTCAGAGTCACTGCAAGACCAAGAGAAGCTTCTGTTTTATGTCTCTTCCCATCTCATTATACTAGACCTGGCCTCAGTGGTACTTTTGTTGGGACCAAATGTTTGCAAGCCGTTCTCCTGGAGGCATCCAATGAAGAGTCTTTGGAAAATATAATTGGTTCAAACGTAGCAATGATAAGATTAGTGAGTGTTATGGGTTGGAATAAAATATTAATTTTGACTATTAATTTGACTACAAAGAGTGTGTGATGATATTAAAGGTCTACACAATGTAAGTCCACATCATCATCATCTTCTTCTTCTTCTTTTAATGACACCATAATCCCTCGCACGGTGGAGTCAGGGCAACTGAATGGAGCTGAGTGTTTACTGGCTGGATGCCTTTCCTGTCGCCAATGCAGAGTTACATTCAGCAGATATATTCTCATTATTGTGCCCAGAGAGAGAAATATCTGCCTCTACCTGGGATTGAACTCACAGCCTCCTGATTGTGAGGCGAGAGCTCTACCTCTAGGCCACCTCAACGCTCGATGTAGGTCCACATCAATTTAGGAAACAGCTTGCTCAAGGCCTAAAATCCAACGGAGAGACCCTTTCCTGTATCCCAGGGGAGTCAGAAGCTGGGTGGGGAAGGACAAAGAAAAGGCTTTCCTGGTGGCTGCACTTAAATGGGAGTCCCTCCTGCTGAAAGAAGTGTTGACAACCTCACCTTTGTTAGGAATACTGTGAAGTGATTCCCTCAGAATCTAAAGATCTATAATGAGGCAGAGACGTCTGCTGCTCCAGAGGCTTTCATAAAAATGATAAAAGTAGCATTGGGCTGCTATATCCCATCCTCACCTTTTTTATGTACGTGCGTGGGATATTCCCCCAGCATACAGAAAAGAGGCAAAGACTTTGCCTCATAATGTTGCAAGCTGCTTTCCTTTATTTCCCCTCTCTTTTTGATTTAATCCTGAGGAAAAATGGCGCCGGGGGGGGGGGGGGGGGGGGCAAAGGGGAGGTAATGGAAAGCCATTTGCTGTTGTCCTCTGGTATCAACAGTCTTGAATGCTAATGTTTCTCTCTTTCCTTTTCCAAAGGGACAAATTCACGAAAAGGATGAGGAAGAAGTCTCACCTGCTAATGTGACCAGGATTTTGAAGTACAATGCTCCCGAATGGCCCTACATGGTGCTTGGATCCCTTGGGGCAGGGGTCAATGGGGCAGTCAACCCTCTCTATGCCTTGCTCTTCAGTCAAATTCTTGGAGTAGGTCCAATGACGAGTGTTCTTTGCCTTGCAATAAATGATATTGAGCATCCTATGTTGTATAGGAAGTGGTGTGCAACGTTGACATAACAATTTCCTTTCTGTTATTTTGAGTTTCTCTCTCTCTCTCTCTCTCTCTCTCTCTCTCTCTCTCTCTCTCTCTCCCTCTCTCCCCCCTCTCAAAGATTTCACAAAATTTTCACAAGCCATCATTGGATGAATTCACACATCACTTTAAGCTACAATGCTGTTTCTTTGGTTCGTCCCGTAGTTTATAAACTCTGGCCTACCACTCAGGGTGAAGCTGGAATCTTGCCTAACATGTGGCTTATCTAAGAAGCCACTGTTTAAAAAATGTTCCTTGATGCAATAGGGAAATCTAACCACTGTGCATGTGTATAAACAAAGACATGTTCTGAAGACAAGTTTAAGACTGGTTCTCCAAGCAGGCCCTGTTATCCTGCCAGCAGTATTCTAGGGAAACAAGGAATAGAAGATATGACTGTTTCATTAATGAGCTCCAGATCAAAATGAGTCTCTGGAATGTAGCTGGCAATTCAAAATTCTGTGGAAAAGCCTGTTGCATATTGTTTATCTGAAGGCTGGTTTTCCCTGTCAGTTTTGCTTTTAGCAGATGAGGAAACAATCGTGCCTCTGATCTCAACACAGTTCAGCACTTTTTTTCACCTCTGTGCACAAAGATGTTAGAGATGCTAGTTTGGGGGAGAGCCAATTGACACGCAGGTGGCAAGACTTGTATGATTAGAGCTCCTAGCACTTTCTTTTTCCTTTAAAGCTTTCGAAAGGGGGGGATTAGACATGGATTTTTATTTTATTTATTATTTCCCCAGCGAGTAAATGGGCAAGTGGGGAGTAAATGGCGAATTAGAAGCCCCTGTGGTGCAGGGGTTAGAATGGAGCATTGTAGGTTGACTCTGCCCACAGCCTGGAGTTCGATCCTGACAGGGCTCAAGGTTGACTCAGCCTTCCATCCTTCCGAGGTCAGTAAAATGAAGACCCAGATTGGTGGGGTCAATATGCTCACTCTGTAAACCACTCAGAGAGAGCTGTAAAGCACTATAAAATGATATATAAGTCTAGTACTTTTGCTAAATGTTTCCGCTTAACTTGATGAGGATTCAGGGACAATTTCGTTCATATAGTTGCGAAAGAAAAGAAGGGGGAAAAATAGAAAAAATTGACCTCATCCTGCTGGGTTCTCCTCTGAAGAACCATTAATAGGTGTTAGACTTTTAAAGGGTTTGTGACTTTCTGATTCTCTGTTCTTTTTATTGCTCTCTCTTACACCTCTTCAGAGCTGCATGGCTTTATCTGATCCAGCATTACTTTCTTTCCACTTACTAATAATACCTAGATTGCTGCCTTCTCAACAGATGTACATTTCTTCTGATATATTTCATAAGGGGGTGGGGAGGGCGCCGTGTTAGGTTTCCTGGAACTACAGCACTGGTTGAACAAACTTTCACTTTTAAAACTGGATATATTTAGGATGGGATAATACACATTAAGTAAGGTGCGCTCAAACTGGGAAGGGGAGAAAGAGGGGAAAACAAGATAGTTGCTAGCATGGAAGGAGCATGATGGTTCACATGGTTAGGATGCCCATGTTCGGGACCCAGCTGCTGCCATGAGACAGAGTGAACTCCTGTCATGCCCTTGGTAGAGTCGAACTCTGAGGGACTGGAGGAACAGCCAATAGGGAGTGGAGGTGTGGCACTGGAGGTTGTGGAGGAAACTGGGGAAGGGCAGCGGCCGGATGGACAGTCAGAGGAAGAACCAGGCCCATCCCCTCTTCATCTTAGGACACGCAGGGAGGAACGGAGAAGGAAACAACTTGGCTTACGAGAGAGGAAGCGACCATGATCCTCCTCATTGGTTGCAGCTGGGGAGATTAGTATATAAGAGAGACGATTACAACACAGCGTTGCCAGAAGCAAAGCGTGTTTTATTTTGGGCTGAAGTTATCTTGGTTGGCGTCCTTCCAATAGACTGTGCCTTGTTATCTCCTTGAAGTTGGTAATTACTTATCCTGGTCCGTTGTGGAAATTTTGTCATTGTAGTTTGTTTGGTTTTTTATTTGACCTCTGTCTGCTCATTAAGTTCGGACTGTGTTGTTTTCTTTTGAAGACTACTTTTGAGTAAGTTTTATCTCCAACTGAGAATAATTGAACAGTGGGGCCAAGTTGGAGACATTAAAGGACATTTATTTACATTTTGGATTTTGTTATGTTTGTGTTACATTCCGGGTCATCACAGCTCCCATCCTTTGCTCCAGTTCCTGCTGGGGACAGCAGGAGCCTCCAACTGGGCATCCCCTGGCAACGGTGAGGTCCCCAGCTAATCTTTTCAACCCAGAAACGCCTCGAGCACAATGTGACTAGCATGGAAAACATTAATACTCAGATTCTGCTGCCTGATATTTATTCTTTACACCTAATGATATGGCGAGCCCTGTTGATTAACCATTTCAAACACCATGCTGAAAGGAACAGGCATTAGGCTACACAAGCATGTGGTTTTTTTTCTACATCACTGTACCTTTTGGCCCAAATACTGAACAAAAACTCAATAGCGTGCGCTTTCAACTGCCTTGTGCAAAAACTTACCTTTAATCTTACAGCACTTCCTTTTCTTTCCCCAAGACCTTTTCCGTGACTGATGAAGAAGAGCAAAGAGCTCAGATCAACGGTGTCTGCCTGCTCTTTGTGGTTGTTGGAATCGTATCGTTCTTCACCCAGTTCCTGCAGGTGATGACAACCAAATAGGCTTCTCGGCATGAGGGCCCCGTTCCCTTGCTACTCTCTCCCTCTCCCCTCCCCTTGTGTTCTTCTTCTTTTGTACATGTGGACAGATGCTTAGGTTTACACTTGTTAAAAACCCCTTGCAGGGCTATACGTTTGCAAAGGCCGGAGAATTGCTTACACGACGCTTAAGGAAAATTGGCTTCCAGGCAATGTTAGGCCAAGACATTGGTTGGTTTGATGACCATAGAAACAGCCCAGGGGCCTTGACGACGAGACTAGCAACGGATGCCTCTCAAGTTCAAGGGGTAAGAGGTTTTATTTAATAGCCGTTTCAGAAACCATCCAGTATGATTTGCTTCAGAATGAAGCAAGATAATAATTGCTGCCAGCAAGCGGGTGTTTTGGTAACCTGATAAAGGAAGAGCATATAATTTGAGTCCCTCCTGGGATGGCAGGGGTGGGCTTCAAAAATTTTAGCAAGGGGTTCTCTCCCTGGTTGCTAGGTGGACATGGCCATGGTGGGCGTGGCCTAGTTGGCCTCCTGCACCACAGCGGGGGGGGGGGGGGGGGGCTTTTTCCCCCTCCCTGAGCCTCCACGCACGCCCTGTGTTAAGTTTGGGGAATAATGGAGACCAGACATCTGACCAGTGACTTCAACTCTTTAATAACAGTAAATAGTACAGAACAGAGCAAGGCTATGGGCAGCAGTAACCCTTTTATAGGGTTGGCTGCTACCCTATTATCCAATAATAAGTGCCCTAAGTTTGGCCAATCAGGGGCTTGTTATGAACCAATCCTTGTTCGTTGTTTAAGGACCAATCAAATGTGCAGGCTTCCAAAACCTGCTTTGCATTTAGGCTTAGTTGTTTTTATTCATTCACAACACCCTGCACTTACCTACATCCAAAACGGGCCACGTGGGGACTCATGGAAGGGGAGGGGCAGGGTGGGCGGGGCCAGCCAGGAGTGGGATTTGGGGGTTCTCCAAACTGCACAGAATCTTAGCTAGGGGCTCTCCCGAACCCCTGCGAGCCCGCAGCAGCCCACCCCTGGCCACGGACACAATATCCAGTATATTTATAATTATTAATGTGATAAAACAAGAAGCTTCCAAGGCATTATTAATACACGGCATTCAAATCTCTGAAGCATTTAAAGGCCCTACTTCTCATTGCAGCTGTAAATCTGTATCTTCATTATAGCCTTTTCATCAGCCAGTGGAAGGCTTGCATGATTTATTCCGACTTATTTTATGAAGCCTTTCTCTCCTGCTTTTCTGCGGCAAACGCCGCTGCTCAAAGCAACTTTATAACATTTAAAATTATGATGTCATCAAAACAATCATGTAAAACAATGAGAGGAGACAAGGCTAGCCATTAAAACCCAGTGGTAAAATTATTATCTTCCCATCCAAGGGCACAAAGCAGTCTTCAAGAACTGGGTGTTAAAATGAACGAGAAGCAAAGATCAGCTGCAATTTTGGGAGCAATACTTTCTATAATATAAGGCCTTTGCCTTTGCTCATTCATTCATGCCCAGGCTCCCTAAACGGTCTGTCTATTGCAGCGTTTCTCAACTCTGGCAACTTGAAGATGCGTGGACATCAGCTCTATTGAAGTCTACTGAAATTTATCTTCCCTGGCAGGAGAACATTACAACCTATTCAGAAAAAAACAAAAAACAAAAAACCACACACTTTCCTTAGTCATCTTCTGTAGCACACATAGGGAAAACTACATTTTCCCCTTTGAAGCTCCACTTCTGGTCTGATAGTTGGGAGCAAAACATTCTGTTTACATCAGTAATTGTCAGACACATGGAACCAGAACAATTCTGTGATTAGACCAAAGTAGTTTCTTTATTGGTGACCGCTTATTTATTTACAAGAGTCTTGCCAGACTATTCTCTCAGGAACAGGCAGATAAAGCTTTCAAGAGTCTGGCCTCTGCCGCTTTCCCCCCATGGAGCCAGAGGTGGGATTCAGAAGGTTCTGACCAGTTCTGGAGAACCGGTAGTGGAAATTTTGAGTAGTTTGGAGAACCGGCAAATACCGCCTCTGACTGGAGATTTTACAGTATCCTTCCCCTGCCACGCCCATCAAGCCACGCCCACAGAACCGGTAGTAAAAAAAAAATTGAATCCCACCAGTGCATGGAGCCATTCCAAGCTAGACTATCTTTTTACTCTAGCTGGCGATTCCACCATCGTAAAGATGACTTTACACCAATTTTGCCTCTGCTACCCCTCTTGTGAGGTTACTACAAGTTGAAAAACCAAGAATAAAACAGAGCAGTGAATATAGCAGAGAAAGAATATAAATAGCAGTGAAGTTGTAGCCGATGGGCTTGTTTTGCAGTTAGAAAAACAAGAGGTTGTCTGGGATACATGTAATCCTCAGCTTACGACCACAATTGAGCCCAAAATTTATGTTGCTAAGTGAAAAATTTGTGAAGTGAAGTTGTTTCATTTTATGGTTTTTCTTGCCACATTTGTTAAGTCACAAGTGTCAAACTGAATCACATCGCTTGATGTATCACAACATTTTTTGCCTTTGCGGAACCGGGGTGAGCGTGGCCTGTGCATGATTCATCCGGCCCGTGGGCCGCCAGTTTGACACCCCTGTGTTAAGTGAATCATTGCAGTTATTAAATTAGTAACATGGTTGTTAAGTGAATCTGGTTTCTCCATTGACTTTGCTTGTCAGAAGGTCGCAAAATGACTCCTGAACACTGCAACCGTCATAAATATGAGTCCGTTGTCAAGCATCTGAATGCAAATCGCATGACCATCAGGATGCTGCAAAGGTCCTAAGTGTGAAAAATGGCCATAAGTCACTATTTTCAGTGCCGCTGTAACTTTGAATGGTCACTAAAGAAACTGTCGTAAGTTGAGGACTACCTGTACATAGGTGAGAAAAATAAAAAGAGCTGGCAGTAGGTCAGATGGAAGTCATGACCTTTTCATTCTTCCAGAGTTTTCTGCTAACGTGGTTGGCCACATTGCAGCCCTGGTCAAAAGGGCCCAGCAGAGATTATACCACCTGAGGCTTCCCAGAAAACAACAACTGAATGAGAAACTGCTGGTGACCTTCTACCGCTGCACCAGAGAGAGCATTTTAACATACTGCACCTCTGTATGGTTTGCCAATTACACAGTGGCCGATGGGACAGCACTCCAGAGGGTTAGTGTCATTGCCCAGAAGATCACTGGTTGCCCTCTCCCCTCTTTGGAAGAGCTTTATAGCTCCTGCTGCCTTAAGAAAGTTCAAAACATTCTCAAAGATCTATCTCATCCTGGGAACCCTTTTTTTGAACTATTACCATCTGGAAGACGGTACAGGATAATAAAAACAAGAACAAATAGGTTGAAAAACAGCTTCTATCCCAGGGCAGTAGCTCTTTTGAATTCTGCTGTATAGTGCAGTGTTGGTCTGGTGTTGGGGGTTTCCGGTTCGATGTGTGGAGGGTGAAGGATGTTTGTTTGTGTTTATTTTCATGGTCATGGTCATGATGTGCACTGAAGATGATGTTTGATTTCGTTGTACGAGGTGCAATGACAATAAAGTAAACTAAAAACTAATGGCCCTTCTCATGCTTTTCATGAGAGAATAAGGCCAGCCTAAGATACTCCGAGATCTGAGATCGATGCCAAAATGGCTCACTCCTTTTCATGTAAACAAATGCAGTGATTTTCTATGTCAGTGACTGAGTAACAGAATGGAGTAAGGCAGACGGTGGGACATATACAATGAAATATTGTGTTGCCTCTCTGAACTCTACAGTATCTATAGAGCCAAGCTTGGTCAGAGAAGCTGTGGATGATTGACTGATTGATCTCCTTCCTTCCCTAGGCAACTGGCACACAGATAGGCATGATTGTGAACTCGCTCACCAATATCGGAGTGTCCATTATTATCGCTTTCTACTTCAGCTGGAAACTCAGCTTAGTCATAACCTGCTTCTTGCCTTTCTTGGCTTTGTCGGGATTGGTGCAGTCTCGAATGCTGGTAGGCTTTGCATCTCAGGACAAGAAAGCGATGGAAGCTACTGGAAGGGTAATGGGCTTTATTTCTGTTTTACTCTTAAAACTGACTGAGACGATGAATAACTGCTCGAGCAATTGCCTTTGTTAGGTAATTATATCTGTATCTCTCTCTCTATATATATCAGGGGTATCAAACTTGATTTCACTGAGGGCCGCATCAGGGTTGTGTTTGACCTCGGGGGGGGGGGATGGGTGTGGTCTGGGGATGTGTGGCCAGCTTGACATCACTTGTGTTAGGGCCATTTGGGGTGGCCTGAGTACTCTGCCAATGAAAACCAGCTCCAAATCTCCGTTTTAGGCTGGGACAGTCTCCTGCAACCCTCTGCCAGTGAAAACAGAGCTTGGGAGGGCCGCATGCAACCCTAACCCTAACTGCATGCGGCCCTCCCGAACATTGTTTTCACTGGCAGAGGGTTGCAGGAGGTTGTCCCAGCCTAAAACGGAGATTGGAAGCCCATTTTCACTGGCAGAGGCACTGTGGGCCGGTCCTTTGCTGTTTCAAGGCTGGCCCCATGGGCCAGATCTAAGCACCCCGCAGGCCAGATCCTGCCCGCTGGCCTTGAGTTTGACACCCCTGCTCTATACACACAAAGAGAGCTTGTTAAGAACAAAAGCTTCCCAGGTGTTACCATTTCTATTGTTGGGAAGATGACTTGCTCCTTAGAGAATCTGTGACTTCAAAGTGTCCACTTCTAAACCTGAAAAAAACACTTTTATTATGAAGTGGGAAAATTGTAAATTGCAGCTGAGAAGCACCTGTGGCAAACCAGATTCAAGGACAGACCCTCTCAAATCTTGTAATATGGGCTCTCTCCAGACCCAATGGGAGGTCCTTGTCCGCTTGAAATATTGGATGTTCACTGATTTTAATTTCTGAAGGTATAGATGTGCAGTACAAGTGGTCCTTGACTTATGATCACAATGAAGCCCAAAATGTCCTTTGCTAAGCGAGACAGTTGTTAAGGGAGTTTTGCCCCATTTTACAACCTTTCTTGCCAAAGTAGTTAAGTGAATCACTGAAGTTAGGTGACTCACACGGTTGTGAAGTCTGGTTTCTCCATTGACTGTGCCTGTCAGAAGGTTGCAAAAGGGGATCATAGGATCTCGGGACACTGCGACCGTCATAAATTTGAGACAGTTTTCCAAGCATCTGAATTCTGATCACGTGACCATGGGGTATGCTACAATGGTCATAAGTGTGAGGACTGGTCATATGTTTCTTTTTTCAGTGCCGTTGTAACTTTGATGACTCACTAATAAAACTGTTGTAAGTTGTGGAGCATCTGTATTTATATTTATGTAATTATTGACCAAGAACCAGTTTGGTCTGATAGTTAAGATGCTGGCATAGGAAGCAGGAAATGGTGAGGTTTATGCTTGCCTTAAACCTGAAAGCTTGGGCCAGTCCCTTTCTCTCAGTCTTATGAAGAAAGCTGTGGTAAACCACCTGAAACATTGCCAAGAAAACAAAAGAGACTTCTCTATTTAGTCACAGCGGGGGCAAAGACTAACATAAACAAATAAAAATACCTCACTTATTATATAAGTCTCGGGGCCTTTGATACCAACCCATGTCTTAGGATCTTGTCATTTGTACTTTTATTCTGAATAGTGGAACCTACTGTTGAATGTAATTGTCCCATTTTCCCTTCATCCAAACTTCTTGTTCCTTTCTTGAGACAGGGAGCTGCTGCTTCCAGGAAATGCAAGAGAGGTGCCATGTTTGTGCCCCTGGGCCCTTCAGTACATCTTTTTGCCTTGCAGTCTTATAATCCTGATAAAGGAGCCCCTGCAAATTTTACTTAGCTAGTTGTTGCCAACTCATCTCCTGTTTCAAGGCCATTGAGCTAGCGTTATCCAAAGACATTTTCATGGTCATGTGGCCAGCATGACAACACAGAGCACTGTTACCTTCCCACCTAAGTGGGTACCTATTTATCTACTTGCATTTACATGCTTTCAAACTTTGTTTGGCAGGAGCTGGGGCAAAGACGGGAGCTCACCCTGTCATGTGGCACTCAGGTCTTGAACTCAGGCTGCCAGCCGACAAGCCCAGCATCTTAACCACTGAGCCACCACGCCACCATAGTCCTTTTTTTAAAAAAAAATATTTTTATATACAAAAAATCCATTCCATTTCAATTGAGTGTGTCGATTAGGTACATATTTCAAATTACTTATCCATTATTAATAATATTCTTCTTATTCATCTTAACAACATAATCACATTCCCATATAAGTAGTATAAATGAGATCCAATATATCTATTATTACATTAATTCCTCTTATTATTTTATATGTACTTTATAAGTATGTCTAATCCCTTTTAGTTTGTTCCAGTGGTGGGATTCAAAAAAATTTACTACAGATTTTGTGGGCATGGCTTGGTGGGCATGGCAGGAGAAGGATACTGTAAAATCTCCTATCAGAGGTGATATTTGTCAGTTCTCCGAACTACTCAAAATTTCCGCTACCGGTTCTCCAGAACTGGTCAGAACCTGCTGAATACCGCCTCTGGTTTGTTCTATTTTCTATCCATTGGTAAAACAAATCCCATACCATATAATATTCAGATTCTTCTTTTTGTTTAATTTCTAGTGTCAATCTATTCATTTCTGCTCATTCAAATATTTTTTCAATTATTTTTCATCATGGTCCTGATAGTCGCAAATAAATTCAAGTTCTACAATATTCTGCTTGGATGTGATAATGACTAGATCCCAGTGAAAGAAGCAGTATCTAAATGATATTTGAATCTAAATGTTCCCACTTTAATCATTCGTTGCTGGCTAGATGCCATCCTCATTAGCATTTCCAGTGTAGGCAGTATGTGCATTCATTAAAGAATACCAAGATTTGCAATTCTGGGAGTATAAGTTACGTAGATGGCATATGACTCTCACCTTCTCCCATAAACAAGTCAAGGAGTCTCTTGTAAAAATGCACGTTGTTTTTTTTACCTCTTCCTAGAGGAGGCTAAAGGCCTAAAAGTTTCCTGTCCGGCATTTTGCTTCTTTTCTTCTAATGCTGCATTAGACTGGTTCCAGCAAGTCTGTAACATTTGATCAATAAAAACACAGAGGAAAAAAGAGAATCATTAAATTGGACAAAATGCCATCTTTCTGCTCATCTATTTTTCATTCATTTTTAACAGCATTACAATTAACATTTATTGAGAAAACAGTTATTTGTTGTAATGTTATATCTAAATGAAATAGCTTTATAATGATATCATTTCCCACCTGTCCCCACTGGGTTCCTGATAAAGATGATTTCCACACACCGACGTACAATATTTTCAAGAGAGCTAAAACAACTTTCTGAACCTGAAAGCTTCTAAAACTTTTGAAATGTAAGCCCTAATCTATAAATTTTTATTTTATTTATTTCTCGCATTTAGAAACCACCCGTCTCCCTTAAGAGAGAGAGGCCCTGGGTGGTGTACAAATGTTAAAACGCATAAAAACCGAATGTAACAATTTTAAACAGGGCAAGAATAATTAAAAATGTAGATTTGAAATTCAAAATAGTTTGAGACACTTTGCTGCCAATGTCTCCATCAGAGGTGGGATTCAGCAGGTTCTGACCACTTCTGGAGAACTGGTGGCGGAAATTTTGAGTAGTTCGGAGAACCGGCAAATACCACCTCTGATTGGAGATTTTACAATATTCTTCCCTTGCCATGCCCACCAAGCCACACCCACAGGACCGCTAATAAAAAAAAATTGAATCCCACCACTGGTCTCCATCTAGGAAATAGAGTGACTTTGTCACAAATCGTGCCACTGGATAACTTGATTCATGCACTCTTCATGCTGAAAAGCAGTTAGGAATAATCCCATGCTGTTAAGAAAAGATGGCCGTTGGCAGAAATAGAACAATTTTCAAACTACAGGTAGTTCTTCACTTACAAACACTTGTTTAATGACCTTTCAAGCAGGGGTGGGATTCAAAATTTTTAACAACCGGTTCTGTGGGCATGGCTTAGGTGGTGGGTGTGGCTTGGTGGTCATGTGACTGGGTGGCCGTGGCTTGGTGGTCATGTGACTGGCTGGGCGTGGCCAACTCAATATCACAACGAGGCACGCATCTCCTCGCTTGGCCTCTCATGACTGTGGGGATGCTGCAACAGTCGTAAGTATGAAAAACGGCCATAAGTCACTTTTTTCAGTGCCATTGTAACTTTGAATGGTCACTCCACACAAGCAAAGTACCAGCAAAGGAGGGGGAAAAAACTCCAGAGACGTTCCTGAGACAGGAAGTTTAGTCCTGCCAAGAATGTAATAAGGGTTAACGGAGAGGCAGTTTCTGTAAGCAACACCAGAATGTTTCCTTCCTGCCTTCCTTACAGGATTAGGCCAGTAATTTCTTCTAACAACTGGTTCTCCGAACTGCTTAGAATGTTAACAACCGGTTCTAGCGAATAGGTGCGAACTGGTAGAATCCCACCCCTGCTTTCAAGGTTACAAGGGCACTGAAAAGAGTGACTTATGACCATTTTTCACACTTACGTCTGTTCAGCATCTTCATTGTCACGTGATCAAAATTCAGGCCTCCTGGCAACTTCTTAGTGCCATGAAATCACAATTTGTAACCTTCCCAGCTGGCTTCCGACAAGCGAATGGGGGGAAAGCCAGGTTTGTTTAATGCCTGCTTGATTCCCTTAACAACCGCAGTGATTCGCTTAACAACAGTGGGGAAAAGGGTCATAAGGTGGGGCAAAACTCACTTAACAGCTGCCTTGCTGAGCAATGGAAATTTTGGACGCAACTGAGGTTGTAAGTCGAGGACCACCTGTAAAGAAATTTTAACCATTGCTTAGCTTAATATTTATTTTTATTTTATTTATTTGTTTTGTCAAGCATGTTTTAGATAACATATAATTTAGGAACATGATTATTAGTACATGAAATGGGTATCAATAAAAGGGGATGTTAGGACGGTAAACACATTGGTGCTCTTATGCATGCCCCCTTACATCCTTACATCCTTAATCAATTATTAATATATAATTAATGTAATTAATAATTACATCCTTAATAATATTAATAAGTATGCCAAAAAGAAATCTTGCCTACCATAAGATCTGAATGTAATTTCATTTCCTCCTTTCCTCCTTTTAGCTGTGCTACATGATATAATTGTTTAAACACTGTATCCTGAATTCCGAAGGATATATTTGTTCTCAAACAAATTTGGTACCAGCCAGTCTTCTGGGAAATGGCTGTCTAACTTGTGTTTGGTTGATTATACTTCCGCATAATGATACAAAGAAGGGAAAGGTGTTTGGAGAGCACCTTTATGAGCCTGGGGCTTGGTTTAGCTGTTCTGAAAATGCAAATGATATGAAAACAATACCTTTGTGAGCCTGAAAGAGAGCAGGCACGCTCCTGGCTAATGCTAACAACTTGAGAACAGAATGAGCAGGGCAAGTCAACCACAGTCTGACAAGGTTACGTGCAAACAAACAAGGTATGCCTGTCATGCAGGATGGCCTGAACCTTACCCAGATGAAAGAGTTCGTGCCACATGCTACCAATTACAATAATAGTCTTGCCCCAAATAGGAAAACTCATCTCCAGAATAATTATAGTCCTTGGATTAACATTGTGTCAAGCCTTAATTCAGTTTTGGCTGCAGCTGGAAAGTAGGCCTGGTCTCTTCTTGGGAGGCCAACCAATGAAGGATAGAGGATCAGAATAAAAAAAATCAGGTTTTAGAAGCAAAGGTGGACTCAGCCTTCCATCCTTCCGAGGTGGGTAAAATGAGGACCCAGATTGTTGGGGGCAAAAGGCTGACTCTGTAAACCACTTAGAGAGGGCTGTAAAAGCACTATAAAGCGGTAAATAAGTCTAGTGCTATTGCTATTGCTATTTAGGGCAAAGTCAGACCAAATGGTCCCCATGTCTATTCAATAAGACAGTTTCCCCAATTTAAGGAAATGGCAAGAGTGTTGCAATCCCAACATGTGATAGAATGAGGTGGAAGGGAAACGTGTTTAAAGATATGGGGAATATTTTCGTGAACAGTAGTATAATATAATTTAAATATGAAATTAGCTGAAATCAAATACCGGATTTTCCCCTTTTCTGGCTCTGCCCACTTTGACTTACACTTATCTACCTCTTAGAGTTATCCTCACAAAGGAAGGGAGGGAGGGAGGGAGGGAGGGAGGGGGGAAGGAGGGAGAAAGAAAAGAAAGAGAAAGAAAGAAAGAAAGAAAGAAAGAAAGAAAGAAAGAAAGAAAGAAAGAAAGAAAGAAAGAAAGAAAGAAAGAGAAAGAAAGACTATTTCCATTATCCTTTGAGGTTAGCAGGCTTACCTTATAACTGGGAGGTCATCTTAAACAATCAGGGCTTATTCTTCTGTCAAGAGGCAGATTCTTGACAATACATTAATTAGTATTTAGTTTGCTGTTCCATAGAGACCACCTGAACCTGCTGTGGATGATTTGCTTGCTTTGGATTTGCCGATTCTTACTTTGGAAGTCATGGCACCCCCACTTTCATATGTGAAAATCATAATTCTGTAGTTCTCTAAAGTGAAATGCCTATATACAATTGTTGATAAACCTTTGTATAATCCTTAACCGATTTTTCTTTTTCTTTGGGGATCAGATTTCCAATGAAGCCCTTGCAAATATTAGGACCATAGCTGGGATTGGAAGGGAGAAAAGTTTTATCAATGCTTATGAGAAAAAGCTAGAAGTCCCCTACAGAGCGGCTATTAAAAAAGCAAACGTTTACGGAGTTTGTTATGGCTTTGCCCAGTGTGTTTTGTTCATAGCCAATTCTGTCTCTTACCGATACGGAGGATTTTTAGTCGAAAAGGAAGGACTTCACTACAGCTACGTATTTAGGTAAGAACCCTCCTACATTCAGTAGGTACCAGTTCTTTAAACACAACGGAATCTATGAATTCTCATATTGTTACAAATATCTGACTGGAGGTAGATGTGCAAATGGGCAAATAGAATAGAATAACAGAATTGGAAGGGACCTTGGAGGTCTTCTAGTCCAACCTCCTGCCTAGGCAGGAAACCCTACATCACTTCAGACAAATGGTTATCCAATCTCTTCTTAAAAACTTCCAGTGTTGGAGCATCCACAACCTCTGGAGGCAAGTTGTTCCACTGATCAATTGCTCTAACTGTCAGGAAATTCCTGCTTAGTTCTAGGTTGCTTCTCTGCTTGATTTAGTTTCCACCCATTGCTTCTTGTCCTGCCCTCAGGTGCTTTTAGAGAATAGCTTCACTCCCTCTTCTTTGTGGCAACCCCTAAGATATTGGAATACTGCTATCATGTCACCCCTGGTCCTTCTTTTCATTAGACTAGCCATGCCCAGGTCCTGCAACCATTTGTCATATGTTTTAGCCTCCAGTCCCCTAATCATCTTTGTTGCTCTTATCTGCACTCTTTCTAGAGTGTCAACATCTTTTTTAACATCGTGGAGACTGAAACTGGATGCAGCATTCCAAGTGTGGCCTTACCAAGGTGTTAACATATAATTTCAAATCAAATTCTGGAGACTAGGCTAAAAAAAGTGGGGAGGGCTCTAATGTTTACTTGTCAGTTTCTCAATCCCAACTTGCTGATCCTGGATGAAAACCCAACCAGAAACTGTTCACCTGATTCAACAAGGCTTTTTAATACATACATACATACATACATACATACATACATACATACATACATACATACATACGTATAAAGTGTCCTGCAAATTGAGACATGTCTTTTTCCAATTTCAGGGTGATTTCTTCCATTGTAACTAGTGGAACGGCTTTGGGAAAAGCATCCTCTTATACCCCCAATTATGCCAAGGCTAAAATAGCAGCTGCCCGTTTTTTTCAGCTGGTGGATCGGATTCCCCAAATCAGTACGTACAGTGAGGTCGGAGAAAAATGGGTAAGAAAATAATTGCTGTTATTCGAATCACATAATTGTAGGATTGGAAAGATCCAAAGGTCAGACAGTCCTCTGCCACCCTTGAGCAGACGAGATTACAGTGTTCTGTGTGCCAGGAAACTAAGGGGAAAAGAGCAAAGTGTCCTGGTATCTAACTGGTGGGCACAAATGTCAGCTCAGTGTTGAGCAAATAATACATATTTAGGACAATACTGAGGCACTCTGGTGCCAAGGCTGGATGGTATAATATTTGCTCTTAGACACTGTGATTATGGCTTGACTCTTTTTGTCCTTTAGATCCCAGAAGACATAATACCCAAGGAGAACTGCTTAGTGTAGTAGGTAAGGTGCCAGATTAGGAGCAGGAAGAGTCAGATTCTAATCTACCCTTGGGCACAGTAACCAGCTGTGTGACCCTGGGGTAGACATCGTGTCTCAAACCTGGATAGGGAAATTAAAAAACATCTATCTATCAATTTGCACTGGAAACGTATGGTAGATTTTTAACGAAATGTTCTTGTTAGGAATGTACGTCACCTAACTGTTGGGTTAGAAAATATATAAAACAGGGCAGGACAGGGATGTGCAGAGGTGGAGAAGACCAGCTGCGGTTTTCGAATACCTTTTCTTGTGTCTGGAGCGATCCCCAGAGGATACACGAACCCCAGAGAGGTTTGTGTCAGCGTAGGGAACTCTCGGGTTGCAGTGTGGGGGAAGGCAACCTCCTGGCAACGAACGGAAGAGCCCCTGAGCCCAGCGCAAAAGAGCCAGCTGCCAGTCTATGGCAGCTCCAAAGTCCGGTCTGCCACTGACGTGACTAAGCGAGAAAGTGACAGCCTGTAAGATCGGAGTAGAAAGAGGTGCAGAAAGACTATAGTATTGAAGAGTGATATTGGCGTGAGATTCCTTTTCCTGGATGTGAGCAGTATTCTTTGGAAGCCGGTGAGAAAAGCGGCCAGAAAAGCGGCTTGAAAAGTGAAAGTGTGACAAGTGTGGGCGGAAAGGCTTGATCGTTAGAGCGAGAGTGTGGATTACAGCGTCTGAAAGGAGAAACTTGTGGAGAGAAGAAGAATACTGGAAAACTAAGGGATCGGAGGACTTGAACTTGTGAGTGGTTTGCTATTTGGGACTAGTTTCTTGATAAAATTTGAAGAGGAAAGAGGTGACGGAGGATAAAGAAACGCGGCGCTGAAAGCGATTCATTGACTCTTTGAACTGAGCGTAACAGGATTACAGACTCTATTTAACACTGTTTGTAGGACAGATTGCTAAGCGGTTAGGAGGAGAACACTATCGGATTGAGGTGAAAGTAATAAGCAAAGGAGATTTGGACATTGGACTTAAAAGTGTGGGGAAAAGGAAAAAGGAAAAAAGAGGAAGAAGAAAGAGATTAACTGAAGGCTGGGAAAGATCGACTGCTGATAGCGATTAGTCAGCACTTCTCACCATTCTCCTTCCGGTGTGCCGGAAAAGAAATACAAAAACCCCAAATCTTTAGCTTTGAGTTTGATCGCAAAATTCTATCTCTTTACCACACTATTTTATCTTCTTGAATCCCTCCTGGGCATTATTTCTATATTATTATTTCTGCAGTATTTCTACAAACTTAATTTCTTGTCTTCTGCTTATTGACTTTCTGAAGTTAAGGTAAATTTTTCTTTCTTTCTACTCTTTCTCTTCTTTTCTTTTCTTTCTTTTTCTTTTAATAACATTTATAAATTCATTTATTTAGAAAAGGTATACTGATTTTACAGATCTCAGTGCCAATTGATTTGATTGTTTTGAATAAGTAACAACAACAAAGATTGTAAAATATTACTGATTTAGAATATTTAGAATATCTAATATTAATCTATAGCATAAGATAAAGGTTTATAGGGATTTAGAAATCTTAGAAATGTTTTAAAGTGGTAACTGGGTTTGATTTGATATATTATTTGTTATAAATATTTATATTTGGCATATAAATTTACCTTAAAGAATATTATATAGTATCAGATAGCGCTCTATAATACGGGAATATAGACTGCCCAACTACATACCCGACTGAAGTAATAGAACAGAATCCTTAATTCAGGAGTAATAACACTGAATGGTGATCTGGGACAATATAATTAGCATAGTCCAACAGCAAAAACAAATTTTAAAAGAGATGACCTCCACGACAACTACGGCCCTGAAAACAGGAAGGAAGACTACCCCGATCCTAACGACCACCTTGACATCAGCCTCCCCAACAATCCAAAAAACTATTGAAGAATCTCTAACAGGAGAAAAACAACCTAACATTTCTAATGCCAACGTACAAGCTACCCTACTATCTTTGCAAGAATCAATGTCCAAAATGCAAGAAATAATGATTAAGAACCATAATGAAACTAGAGCGGACATTAGCGAATTAAAAGAAGAGATGGGTAAGCTCAAAGCGGAAATGAAAGCAGATATACTTAAGGTGGAGAATAAGATAGGGACATTGCAACAGGCTATGGAAAAAAATGAAATAAAGATAAAAGAAATAGAGATAAGGACAGAACGAATGGAGAAGAAATTAGAAAGGGCAGACGAAGAATTCAAAAACGTAACCAGAGAAATGGAAGACTCCCTGGTCCATCTAGAAATGGATAAAGCAGCGGCATATTTGAGATTTCAGAACGTGGAGGAATCGAAGAATGAAGAATTAGAGCAGTTAATGGCAGGATTATTGGCCAAACTGTTGGAGAAAGAAAAAGATGATCTACTTAAGGAATTCGATGAGGTGTATAGGGTCAGCACCAGCTACGCAAGACGCCACAATTGTCCGAGAGAGATTTGTATCCGTTTCACAAGAAGATGTGTGAGAGATTTAATACTCAGACTGTCTAGAGATGCAACAATAACATATAAGGGCAAAGAGATCATGATCCTTAAGCAAATCCCAAGAAAAGTGAGGGTCATAAGACAAGATTACAAATTTCTAGCTAATTATTTAAATAAAAAAGGAATTCCATTTAAATGGCTAATCCCGGAAGGGATGCTAATAACATGGAAAGAAAGGAAAATTAAAATAGACTCTATAGAACAGGCACAAGATTTCCATGAACAGTTAACAGCCACGGACCATCAATACACTAAGGAGGAAACCAAAAGGAACCTGCAGGAAGACCGTAACCGCTATAGAAATAAAAAAGAAGGACCCCTCCAATACCAAGGGAATGATAACCCACAACCAGAGAGAAGAACCAATCCCACAACAACCGCAAGAAGAGAGCCGAATTATCACAAGACAAAAAGCTAAACAGACAACAAAACAGAAATAAACTCCTTTCCATTAATATAAATGGTTTAAACCTAACATCTAAAAGGAAAAGGATATTAACCAAACTAACTAGACAAAACGCCAACATAATATGCCTACAAGAAACACATATCAGGAAAAATGATGAAAGATATTTAATTTGCCCGAAACTTGGGAAGCTATTCACAGCTCCAGCAGATAAACATAAAAAGAAAGGAATTGCAATATATGTGAAAGATGATTTAAAAGCAGATCTAATTTGGTCAGACCTGGAAGGAAGAACTCTGGTTGTACAAATCTTGATTAATTTTATTACATTTTTATTGGTAACAATTTATGCTCCAAATGAAGAACAAGGAAATTTTTGTTTTGAAAAAAGGAACATTTGCATGATAGGCGACTTTAACTCTATTGCTGACCATCAAAAAGACCACAGTAATGCGAGTAAGAACAAAAAAGGGAAAAGAGAATTCTCTAAATCTTGTAAGGATATGATGAAAGAACTAAATTTAGTAGATTTATGGAGGAAATTAAACCCAGAAGATAAACAATTTACATATTATTCTAATCCGCATAAAATATGGACAAGAATAGATATGGCCTGGATGAATGGGGAATTGGCAAATGAAATAAAAGAAATCAAAATTTTACCAAATGAATGGGCCGACCACAACCCAATTCAAATAATTTGGAGAGGCAGGAGAAAAACAAAGAAAAGATGGACACTAAATACTCATTTAATAAGTGAAGAAGAGTACATTAATAAGCTGAAAGAGGAATTAAATTATTTCCTAAAAGAAAATAACAATGAAGCAACCTCGAAACAAAATATCTGGGATACAATGAAGGCAATCATAAGAGGAATAACAATCTCTTATAATGCCATGAGAAATAAAAGAAAACATGCCCAACAAAACAAATTACAACAAATTAAGGAATTAGAAATTCAATTACAAAAAACTCCCAAAAACCAAAGAATACAAAATCAGTTAATAACAACTAAACATAAATTGAACCTACTCGAACAAGAAAAAATGGAAATAAATTTGAAAATGACCAAACAAACTTATTTTGAGTATGCAAATAAACCAGGAAGATGGTTATCCCACAAACTTAAAAAAGGGAAAGAAAAGAGATTGATACATCAACTAATGGATGAGAAGGGCGATTTACAACACGAGATAGAGAGGAAAAAAGATACCACTCACAATTATTTCCAAAGATTATATAAAAAGGAAGAAGTCAACGAAGATAAAATAAGGAACTATCTAGAGGAAACGAACGACAAAGTAATTGGAGAGGAATGGATAGAATTACTAAATAAAGATATTACATGGTCCGAATTGAAGTCAGCAATAGAGAATCAAAGTAATAACAAATCTCCAGGACCAGATGGGATTCCGGCAGAATTATACAAAGCAACAATGGAATTAGTTGGACCACTGATGTTGGAAGTGTTCAATGAGGTACTTCTAGCAGCTAAAATGCCAGTCTCGTGGAGGGGAGCATTGATTTCACTAATCCCGAAGGAGGAAGTAGACCACAGATATATTAATAATTACAGACCAATCTCTCTTCTAAACACTGATAACAAATTATTCACCTCCATTATAGCCAACAGATTAAAACAAGTTTTAAACCTACACATTCACGAAGACCAAAATGGATTCCTCCCGTCTCGACAAATAAAGAACAGTTATTGATGTCTTAGAATTCTATGAAGCCC